TCCAACTAGAAATGATATTAGCAGACACTCAGGTATTGGGTTTTTTGTTTTGTTTTGTTTTGTTTGTTTGAACTCAGGGTCTCAAGATTGCTAGGCAGGTGCTCTACCACTGAGCCATATCACTAGCCCTCAGATATTGTTCCTGATTTCAAAGAGAACACTTTCATTCCACATTCCAACACTAAGTATGGTTGTGAGGGTCTCTGTAATACACAAATATTCTTTATCAAATTAACAAGCATGTTTGCTAAGAGATTGTGTTATGAATGAATGTTGAATTTTATCAAATCATGTTCCTGTACTTGAGGCAAGACAGGTAGATGAGGAGACAGGAAAATTATATTATTTTAAACAAATATTAAAATTACCAGACTCAGAAATTAGAATCAGGAAATGAACAACTGAAAAACCAGAGTACTAAAGTTTCCCTCCCATCACATCCTTTTAGTTGTTAAACTAGGGAGACAAGACAGTGGCTTAAGTCTGTAATCCTAGCTACTTGGGAGGCTGAGATCAGGAGGATCAAGGTTCAAGGCCAGCCTGGGCAAACGGCTCTCAAGATCTCATCTTCAAAATAACCAGAGCAAAATGGACCGGAGGTGTAGCTCAAGTGGTAAAGTGCCTGCTTTGCAAGTACAAAGCCCTGAGTTCAAACCCCAGTACCATGGAAGAAAAAAAAAAAAAAAGAACAGGAAGACATAAAAGGGCTACCCATGTCTGCTTTCCCCTCTGAGATATTAAGAAGCTGCAAGTTTCCTTAAACTAGTAGAGACAGAAAAATGGAAGGTTTGTCTGGCAAAGGGAAGTCCTAAAACTTACCTTTTATCTCTGTGTGTTGGACAGGTCTAGATCTCATCTCCTTGTTTTAGAATAATAATATAATAATAATATAAAGGCCACAGGTAAGAACCACCATTTAGAGTCTTTGTTCCCATGCAAGGAATTTCTCTTTTTTCCCCATTTCTCCCTACCTTAGCCTACTATACTGAAATAAATCCTGGCTGACACTTCTACCATGTGAAGTTCCTTGTGAGACACCTTGAAATGCTTTTCATGTGTGGATCCCAAGTGCCTGTGATTTGGGGAAGATAAGGGAAATCCCCTCCCCCATTCCTCATTTGGCAACATGGTGATTGATATGGTTATATCATTTTTCTCCCTTATGGCATTAATGCGATCAATTACCCTAATTGATATTTCACAAGGTATTTTTCATTCCCAGAATGCAAATAATTATTCAATTGGGTTATTGGATATTTATTTATGATACTTTATAGGGTTTATTATTTGCTAATTTTTTTGCATAGGATTTTTGCCCCTGTGTTCATAAGGATTTTTTTTATGTTTGTCATAATGTCTTAGTTTGGTTTTCCTTTCAAGTATACATACTGCCTTCAAAACATGAGTGAGGGGCTGTTCCCTCTTTCCTGCTCCCTAGAAGAATATATGTAAGATTAGTGTGATTTTTCTTAACTGTTTGATGGAATTCCACTTCACTTGGCCATGGACTATTATTCTTCCTGAGAAGGGCATTTTTATAGACTCTGCTGTAAAAGAATGAAAATCTTGGAAATCTTTCAGTTTCCAAGAACTTCGAAGAGAGAGGCAGTTAGTGTCATATGCCATTTCAAATGGCTGACGTTTTCCTGAGAGACCTCCTCCCTCCACACATTCCCCTTGCTCCAGCAGGCCTGCAGGGTGACTGGCTTTCTGAGCCTGGCTTCTCAGAAAACTGCGGGGGAGGGACACAAAGGACTGCCTGAAGACAGAGGCTCTTTGTTTGCTCTGCTTCTATGTAAATTGGGCAACATTTGGAAACAGCAAATATTGGTTCAGAGGCCCACTGCTTTCTGGCCACCCCCTTCTGGGCAGCTTCCCCAACACCCTTGCACGTACACACAAGTTCAGCGGTTTCTATAAGAGGGCCAATTCTGAGGTTAGAATTTAAGAATTGTATTTTGTTTGTGGTGGAAGATTTGGGTCATGAAGATGAATTCCAAGAAGGCAGCTGTGGTGTAGGGGAGGCTGGGATTAGGAAATTTGAGTTCTGGTCCTTAAACTCTAGGAACAAGTGCCATCTTTTTTCAGGTGTTCATGTCTGCCAAACATCAGTACTGATTTCACTTTGTAGCACTGGTGGTTAAGATAACAAGACCCAGGCAAAGGGCTAAAAAATGATACTTCCAGCTGATCACAACCCAGCCAGCCCCTGTGAGATTCTGCATTCAGCACTCAGTCTTCTCCCAGACCCACCAGTCCTGCTGCCTGCAGAACCTGGGGTGTCCATATGTCCCTGTGTCAGTGTGACCCCAGATGAGTCTCCTTGGCCTCCTGGTTTCCCGGAAGAAACAGTGTCCCTGGTGGCTGGGGATACCTTACAACCAAATGGCCTGCTTTTGCATTTGGGCTCTGCAACTGACCTTTGACAAGCTCTTGTCCTCTCTGTAAGATGTGTCTCTTCTGTAAGATGGAGATTCTGAAGCACCAAGGTCGGAGGACAGGAGCAAGTGGTCAATGAAGCTTATAGCAAGTCTCAGCCATCATTAAGTGTACAACAGGGGCAATGAGTGTTCAGACTCCAGAGAGTCTCTGGTATAGAATTAAACACATAAAGAAGGGCCCAGATACAATTGTCAAGGGGTACCAAGAACACAGCACTGTAATGTTAACCTCTTATCACTCCACATACACATACAGACATACACAGGCACGGGCACCCCATGCAACCAGGGCTGTGCCCACATGTACACCCCCAAAGCTGGCCTTATCTACCCCTCTGGAGAAAGGCAAACACAGTACTCTGTTGCTATCTTTCTTCTGAGCAAGAACCAAGGGCTTGGACTTCTCCACCAGGTGCGAGTAGATGACATGGCAGCTCCTGCTCTCCGTATTCCATGAGGCTGTGCGCCTTTCCCAGCACCTGTCTGGGGCTTGGACTCAGAGGACCCCACTGAGGGCAGGGCCTCGGGTTGGGTGGTCTGGAGAAGGCCCGGTCTGGCCAGAGGCTGCTCCTTGCTGAGGGGCCCTGGCTCAGACTGTAGGCCTATGGTAGAGAAGTGGCCTTGGTAGGCTCACTCTGAGAATGTAGAAGAGGCACAGAGAGGGATGATTAGTGTCCCTCTGCCTTCCATGCCCTGTACTGAGCTTCCCTGAGTTTGTGGCCTTTGTTCAACACTTGACAACTCCCATTTCTGCTTCCTGCCAGAACTTACGAACTCATAGGAGGATCTAGCCAAGGCATCAGCTGAATGTGTACCTGCTGTTCTGTGAGGTTGCCCTCCTGTCCTGGACTCTCCTGCCACCATCTTCATGTGCCCACCCTGAGGAATCCATATGAATACAGACTACCTCCTAATGCTCCTCCTGTCAAGTCTTATTTTCCCATGGCTCATGCACAAAGGACCCATGATGGGGGAGGGGGCAGAAAGACAGGGCACCAGTGGCCTTTTTTCCTCATTAGTACTGGGCTCACTTAGTACTGCTAAAGTGGACTGTGTGTGACCTCTTTGTTTTCAGGAGAGAATCTATTGGGAGAATAAAGCTAATGCACTGTCAATTAAAAAATCATCACTCACTCATATTCAATGTGTAGCTTGGCCCCACCGCTCTGGTTGTGTTTGTTGGGTCAAAGATCATGTGGAGCCTTTGATGCGCCTAGAGGAAAGATGGAGATCAACTGAGAAGGAATGGGTCAGGGAAAGGGGTGCTGGATGATTGTGGCAGGCTGATCTTGTCTTTTGTTTTTTGCATTTTTCGTTTCCATGTTCGTGGTTTATGTGTGCCCAGTTCAATGGATGTAAAGGTTAGAAAATCTGTCTTTAACTCTTCAACTCTCACAGGACACAAGAGTGCCTTAAAAATATTCCTGTAAAGAAGCAGGAATTTCCCTGGAAAAACATTGGTGCCTTTGTACTCGTGAACACAAGTGAACAAAAACCAAGCTGGCATGTTGACCAGGCCTGGCATAAGCTCTTTGTCAGCTAAAATATGGGGCAGATCAATGGCTCTCTGATGAAATTGGATGAGAAGTGACTTTTGAAAACCTTAAAATCATCTTGATGACTCTCTGAAGTCTGGATTTGCACTTTCTTGAGGAACCTTGACCTTTCCCTGATATACACTGTGCTCAAGATACGATTTATCATGTGTAAGGCCTTAGTAGAACATTTCAGATGAGCGTGTTTCATCTTTATCTCATCCTTTTATAAATTTCTACATGCATGATTGGAATGCATATAGGGAAGGCGAAAGCTCAATGCTTTTTGTGAAGAGGATGTACAACCCACACCGTTTGAAGATTGCTTGGTCAGAGGGGAACTGGGGTGACCTTAAACTTCATTTAAGAACAGGTCACATTCACCCTGGGCTGTGTAGTTGTGCTAAAGTGGCACTTTGTTCTGGTCTCACTGGGTCTTGATAGTATGTCTACCCAAGAGCTGGGCTCAGCCTGAGGGAAGGAGAGGGAGCTGTTCCACAGGGTGGGCCTTAGAGAGCCCAGGAACCCCTGGAAGGAGCACACAGTGCTGAGTCTGCCCTGTCTGACCTTGAGCCCAGCTTTTCCAACATTCTCTCCCAGGAAAGGTTTTGCCTTCAATTTCCTGGTCCTAGTCTGGACTCTAGGGCAGATCCTCTCCCTCTCCAGCCTCAGTTTTCATCTGTGCACAGAGCTGATGGGCTGCAGAGCCACTCCCGCCCCAGCCTGCTGTAGCCACCAACTCCTGGCACAGAGCAAGCGAGCAGCTCTAACAAAGACTAGATTTTGCTTTAGTTCCCTGCCAAACCAACGTTGCTGCGCTGGACTCCACTAGCCGGTCTGTCCCAGAGTTTAGGAAATGAGGTGATCATCGGGGCGAAAAAGCAAAGGGGATGGATGAGGGGCGATTGGGCAATCGGGCTGAGTAAACACCGGAGGTCAAAGATCGCGGCCGCCTGGCCTGAGCGGGGGATAAAGGATCGCGGGGCGCAGCGGAGCAGCGCAGAAGCGGGTCGGTCTGCGCTCGCCGCTCCTTGCCACACCGGGAGGATGAGGCTCGCCGTGGGTGCCCTGCTGGCCTGCGCCGTCCTGGGTGAGTGTGGGCGCGGGGGAGGACCGCAGAGCTGTGGGCCCAGGCACCCCGGAGGCTGGACGTCTTGGTGCCTCTCCTTTGCTCTCCTGCCACACCATTCCACCTTCTTCAGTCTCCTCTGATGGCCCCTGCTTGAGTCTCTGACCCTGTGTCCCCGGCCCCCTTCTCCTCTTTGTTTACTAAATCCTGAACCTGTGGATTATGTAAATTAGAGCACTTCCGGCCACAGATTCTCCAAACCTTTGCTGCTGCCTCTCCCGATCAAATCCAAACTCCTTAATGTGACTTGAAAGACTCCTGGGATCTAATCCTGCCCACTTCGTAGTCTGCCCTCTAATGGGTGCTCCTGACCTGTTGATGACTTGCTAAGGAGGCAGAACCTTTAAGTGGTTCAGAGCTTGGAGTCTGAAGCCAGAATTCTTGGGTCCAAATCCTGACCCTGTTCCTCGCCTGTGAAAGGGATAATAGTTTACCCACCTGGGAAGGTCAGGTGAGGGTAAATGAGGACGTGGAGGCCAGGTACCAGTGGAGGATGCTGGTCGCACAGATCCTGCTGTGGGCCTGGTACCAGTGCCCCTCCCATCCCACGTTTTGGGCCCCCTTTGTACTTTAGTTTGCCTGCTTCCCTTGCCATATTGTTGGAGCCCTCCATGTTTATTTGTTGGCCTTCCCTGAAAACGATCAGAGGGCCCCATATTGCTCACCCCAGGGCTGTGCAAGGTGGCACATGACTGAGGACAAATTCTTGCCCATAGAACTTGAAGAAGCTGATTTGGAGAAGGGTGTGGAGAGGTGGTTTCGGGAGGGACTGCCACCGGTTGTGTTACCTCCTGTGACTTTCCATTGACCAAGGTACAATACGGGAGGAGGTTAGGGTAGTCAGTCTCCCGTGGTACCTTCTTGTCCATTCTGGAAAACTGTTGGCCTCGAGCCTCCCAGGCAGGGAGTCAGCCCTGCTGTGTTAGCCACAGGGAGTGGGCATGACTGAGGGCTTGGCAGGTAGTGCCAAAGCTCATGTGACAGCGTTTTATTTTGTTTTGTTTTTGGTGGCACTGAGGTTTCAACTCAGGGCTTCGTGCTTGCTAGGCAGGCGCTCTACCGCTAAGCCATGACCCCAAGCCCTTCTGTGACAGGATTTTAATAGTTCTGCTCATAGCTGGCTTTAGCTTTCTCTCTAAATGGCAGCCAAAAGAAGTGGTGAGCACGGAGGGAGGGCTTGGTGGAAACAGAAGAAGACTGTCGAATGGATGGAGCTTCTAGAATTTTCTAAATGAGTATTGAGCCAATGGGTTGAGGTGGCTCAAAATGCTGTGTGCACACAAAGGCTTATGTTTTGCTATAGGCGAGGGGTCATGACAGGGAGGAAGGAGACAGAGAGAACACAGAGGAATGGATTGTCCTCTCTGATTGAGAGTCAATGGTCTGCCAGAGCCTCTGGACAACACAGGGTGGCCAGAGGAAAATGGGAGGCCATTAGGATCACCTTTTCCTGACCTTGTCTCAAAATGCAGTGGAGCCTAAGCCCTGTGGTGTCATGGACAGGAATGAGAAAAGGACAGGACAGAAGGCCCCTCGCACAGGGAGTAGGACCCTCAGATCTCTGCCTTCTTTCCCCTAGGGCTGTGTCTGGCTGTCCCTGAAAAGAATGTAAAATGGTGTGCTGTATCAGAGCATGAGGCCAGCAAGTGCGCCAGTTTCCGTGACAGCATGAAAACAGTCCTTCCTGCCAATGGTCCCCGTGTCATTTGTGTGAAGAAAACTTCCTACCGTGATTGTATTAAGAGCATTTCGGTAAGTCACCGCTGCCCGAAAGACAGTGAAAGGAGATCCATACTTTGTCCTGCCATTTTGGAAGAATTATTCACTTGAAGGTAGCATGCTAATGTTTGGTTTGGTAGTCAGTTCCCACTGTGATTAAAATCACCTTAAAATGGAAATGGAAGGGATCATCTTTAATATGTAAAAAAGCAAAAATCAATGAATCCCAAAAGGTGACTGTTTTGAGTCACTTAAGTTCTGTGAACTCAGGGAAAAAAATAAAGACTGCTATCAAAATTATTATATAACCTCGTTTGGAAGTTCTCTCTCTTTCTCGCTCCCCCTCTGTGTGCATGTGTATTGCTGGGAGTTGACTCTAGAGTCCAGCACACGTTAAGATGTGCTCTACCACTGTGCAACAGCCCCAGCCCTAGAAACTCTTGATACTTCATTGGGAAGACGAGGGATGCACACAGGGAGGAAGAATAAGCTGTCATAACTGCAGATGATGGCTGATCCCTTTGTTTTCTAAGTCTACAAAAATACTCTTCATGCCTTTGATATTGGTCAGACCCCACAGTAGGTCATGGGGCTGTTGTGATGAATCAGACACACATCTTCACCCTCAAGGAGCTCACAATTTAGGAGAGAAGAGAGACATGTAAATGAGTAAGCAATTTCCAAATGGGGGGCATACGATGAAGGAAAAGAGTAGTGCCCTGATAGGGACTCACAGAAGAACTTACTGTGGCCTGTGTAATCAGGGGTCACTCTCTTTGAGAGAGAAGCAATGAAACAGAGATCCAAGGGTAGGGCCCTGCAAGGAGCAATGGGTGAACTACACCATTCAGTGAGCAACAGCAAGTGCAAAGAGCCCGAAACCAGGCAAAGTCTAGCTAGTTTAAGTTGCAAGAGGGAAACCAGGTGACGAGAGCTGTCAAAGATAAACACAGTCAGATGTTAGAGCAGTGAGAACAGATTTTATTCAGTAGCTCCTGACAGTAGGGGGGAAGAACTAAGATCCATTCTGATTTGTGCAGAGGTAATTTGAGTGTTTTAAAAGAAGAATAAGGGACTAGCAAATGCAAGGCCCTGAGTTCACAAACCCAGTGCTGCAATAATAATAGCAACAAATGATGATAATAATAATAATAAATGCTGGAGTATAAGAGAGAGGGAGCGCAGGAACTCAGCATAGTCCTGGAAGTGAAAAGGTGCAGAAGATTGGTCAATGTGGCTTCGATGAGGCCAGGCCAGCTGTATTTGCCAGCTAGTGTTTTTCTACTTTAGGATTCTATCCTCACACAGAGACCTATTCTTCCCAATGATCGTATTTTAAAGGAATGGCTCTCAGATCCTCGAGGGAGATGTTCTGAGTTGCAACAGATGCACATTCACAATTCCAAGCCTCTTTTAGTAATTTGCTCTTAGAAAGGAAGATGAGGGCTAACCATTGCTTGTGTGTTGACCAGAAGAAATAGTAATCTTTTCTGACAGTGTTGCACTTTCTTGGGCAGACATATTAAGGGGGCTAGGGCTAACATAGGGACATGGCCTTATGCTGCCAGAAGCCATGCTAGAGTTTGATCAAGTCTCTTGGCTCAGGGATTGGATGGCCTCGTGTGGAAAGTTCTCCAGCTCTCAGAGCAACGTGTGCAGAGAGAGTGGTGGGAGAGAAGAGGTAGAAAAGGTGGACATAGCCAGCACAGTGCATGGCCTATGTGGAGGAATCAGTGTTGTGGTAACCTGCTTGCTTTGTCCTTGTCATCTGGTTTGCCTCCAGCCCATCTTCTTCTTCTGGGTTTGGTCATCTGGACCTGTGAGGTCATGCTTGATTTTAGTCCTCTTCCTCCCACTGGGTCAGATTCCTCTGGGCATCCCTGCTGCTCTAGTGCCGGAGTCTCTTTTTCAATTCTAGGCTTTCTGGTTTCCCATGCCACAGACTCCAGCAACTTCTGCCCAGGGTCCTGGTGTCCTGGCCAAGAAAGCCCAGGTTTCTACCCACTGTCCCTAGCCCACTTGCACTGGGCAAAGGTCTTGTTTGTTGGCTTATTCATTTTATCTGACAATGTATGTACAGCACAGAGCCACACAGAGTTTCTTACCTGGAATTTAGTTGTGGAACAGAAGGGTCTGTGTGTCTTCCAGACAAGTATTTATTTATTTTTTGGCTATACTGGAGTTTGAACTCAGGGCCTTGCACTTGCTAAGCAGGCGCTCTACCACTTGAGCCACACTCCCAGCCCTTTTTTTATTTTAATTATTTTTCAGATAGGGTCTTGTGTTTTTGCCTGGAGCCAGCCTTGGGCCATGATCCTCTTTTTTATGCCTCCCAAGTAGCTGGGACCATGCCTGCCTTGTTGATTGGAGATGGGGGTCTTGCTAACTTTTTGCTTGGGCTGGCCTCAAACCTCCATCTATCTGGGATGGAGAGAGCAGCTTTCCCCACACCAGGCTTACCAGGTCAAGCCTTTGCAGTTGCTAAGGCAAATCTACATAGGACTTGTGGCCAGGAGCTGGATACCTCACTAGGAAGAAGAGAAAAAGAATACATCCCTTCCCCTATAAGGGTGGAATGGTAATAATGGCAGCCAAATGTCTTTTGAGAGAGCTGGAATCAACAGTGTTGTGTGTGGCCTGGCCAGGGTGAAGGTTCTTCTAGTTCTAGGGCCCTTTCCTGGGTGGGCCATCTTGGAAGTGAGGGTTTCATGGAGGTCTGGCCTATTTCAGGCAAATGAAGCGGATGCTGTGTCACTGGATGCGGGCTTGGTCGCGGAGGCAGGCCTGACTCCCAACAACCTGAAGCCTGTGGTGGCAGAGTTCTACGGGTCACACGACAGTGAGTTCTCCCCGGGCTCGCAGGAGGGGGTTGTGGCCCTTGTCTCCTCATAGATGCTGAGTCTTATGTTTTGTGGTCAGGGATTGGATAGTAGACACTGAAGAACATTCATCTTTGGGTGCTTGTGGGGAATTGGAGTCCCTGTTAGATACTACAGGCACAAAGGCCTCTGTGCACTTTTGGACCACACTGGCTGGTGTACCTGATACAGAACCCCTGGACCAGGTACTCACTAGAGAAACACAGCAGGCTGGATACAACTTGACCTGGAAGCCATTGGGTCTAGGAATGGTACAGGGTCCCTGGAGGCGCCCTGGAACCACAGATGCCATGTACAGGGCAGAGCCCACACCACAGTCCAACGACCCAGAAAAATCTGAGTTTAATCTGTCTCTGAGCCTGTGCCACAGGACAGACAATACTTTGGGGGGTGGGGAAGGGAATGTGGGCCTTTGTTGTCTTAGCTCCAGTTTCCTGGTGGCCCTGGGTTGATAAATATAGGCAAACACACTCCAGGGTAGGCAAAGCACTCAGGACACATGTGCAAATGGCCTTCCTGCCCCTGTGTTCGCCTGGAGTGATATTCCAAATGGATCGTCTGTGTTTTCTCTTCTCTGAAAGGCCAGGAAGGTTTCCTGATTCCTCCCTCCTCACTACACAGCCGATATAAAGTGGCCTCTGGATTCCCCTTCCTTCCTCGGGAACCTAGTAGTGACAATGTTTCTCTGAGTCGAGTTGAAGGCCTTCTGCTTACACCGTCCCTTTGTAGATCCACAAACTTACTATTACGCTGTGGCCGTGGTGAAGAAGGACACCAACTTCCAGCTGAGCCAGCTCCAAGGCAAGAAGTCCTGCCACACGGGGCTGGGCAGGTCTGCCGGGTGGAATGTTCCCATAGGCTTACTCTTTTGTGACTTACCCGAGCCACGTCAGCCTCTTGAGAAAGGTAAGTTGGCATCTCTACTCTAGATGCTCACAAAGGCCACCTGGGGTCACAGGGTCACAATTAGCTGGACACATGGGCTACATTCCACTGTGGGGGCAAGGGGAGATTAACTTGCTTGTAGCTGGCAATTTTGCTGTACCTTCTGTCCTTCCTTGGGAAGCAACAGCTGAACCTTTTCTGCTCTGAGCTCACTGCAGCAGAGGCTGTTCCGAGGAGAGGAGGAAAAGGGTACAGGGTCCAGTCTGAACCACATGACCGGGCTCTTATCTGTTTCCCACAGTTGCTGTCTGTGGTGTGGGTGTGGGTGTGCGTGTGCATGTGCGTGTGCGTGTGTGTGTTTGTGTGTCCCATTCTGCTAGAGGTTGCTTTGGTGGCCACAGCTTGTCCTAAACCTCTATAGGCCATTCTTCCAGTACATGGGTTCCAGATAGGGACAGGCAGACATAGGCCCGAGACAAAGCTTGGGAGGTGGGAAGCACAGACCTGTTTCCTTTGGTGGATGGTGGGCGGACAGGGGTTAACTTGTCCCTGTTTGAAAATCCTGGATCTTACTTAGCACAAGTAAGACCGAACTGGGACGGGGTTGTTTGTGTCCCACTCTGTTCCCTGGTGAGTCTGGGCTGGGAGGTGGCATTGGCTGTGACCAGACTTGCTTATGCCTTGTCTGTTTCTCTCCATTGAGCAGCAGTGGCCAATTTCTTCTCGGGCAGCTGTGTCCCCTGTGCAGATGGAGTGGCCTTCCCCCAACTGTGTCAGCTGTGTCCAGGTTGTGGCTGTTCCTCCCTTCAACCATACTTCGGCTACACTGGTGCCTTCAAGTGAGTGAGCCTGCCTGCTGCGCCATGGTGGCCAATGCCAAATGCCCTCAGGTGGGAGTTCCTTGCTGGCCTAGAGCAGAGACCTGCCTACCTACAAGGGTGTCAAAGAGGCCCTGTTGCCCCACCATCTTCAACCCCACCAGTGAGTCAGTGGTACGTCTTGGAACTCCCAAGATCAGGCCAGCTCATGTTCCTTTTCATCTGACCCACGGGAGGTTCTTTATCCTTGGAGCCCTCAAGTCTGACCAGTGTCTCCTCCCTGTGTTGGGCTGACCCTGAAAGGAGAAGAACTGGGCAGTTCTTAGTGCTGAGGCCTAAGAGCTGATGGTCACTCAGCTCTCTTCTGTAGCAGAGTAACATACTCAAGGCACTGGCCTTTCTCCTGGCTCCCTCTTTTTTTTTTTGGCAGCACTGGGGTTTGAACTCAGGGCTTCATGCTTGCTGGGCAGGCGCTCTACTGCTTGAGCCATTTTTTTTGTGTGTGTGATTTTTTTTTTTTTCAAGATAGGGTCTTATGAACTATTTGCCCTGGGCTGGCTTTAAACCATGATCCTCCTGATCTCTGGCTCCTGAGTAGCTAGGATTACAGGCATGAGCCACCAGTGGCCAACTGTGGTTCCCTCTTTTTACTTTTATTATATCCTTAAGTTTTATACCCTGGGTGAAAATACAATTATCTTCTATAGCAGGAACTTAAAAACTCTTGTACATTAAAATAGCTTCAACTTCTTGCTGCTTTGAAGTATGAGCTCACCCCCTCCCCACCTCCATCTCAATGGGACCCTGGATGCCAGCACCCCATGGTGATAGCTCAGCAGTGGGGGCTGCTTGGCAGTATAAGCTGGGCCTCTAGGCCTCGGAGAAGGGCCTGCCCCGCAGGAGTCATGCTAAGGGTTCCTTTCCCGTAGGTGTCTGAAGGAAGGTGGAGGGGATGTGACCTTTGTCAAGCATACAACCATATTTGGTAAGTGGTGGGAGAAGAACCTGGAAGGTGTGCTCTACTTAGTGGGTATTCTTTTTTCCTGTCCGTTTTTCATGCTCAGACATGAGTGTATAGGGCTTCTCCTCTACCATTGCTTGGGTTTCTATGTATGCAGAGGTAGGTAGCTTTGGGGTCTGCACTGAATTCATGGGGCTCTCCCTCATTTGACCTCTCTACACACTGAGGCTAGTCTGGCTGACCTTGGCCTGTCAGTTGTCCTGTTGAGATCAGACTCATGGAATGTGGGTAGTCATTTCTGCCCTGGGCATCCAAGACTCCATAACTTCATCCAGTGGCAGAGTCATTTTCCTGCATGTTCCCTAGCCCTCAGGGAGCACTCCAGGCCTTTCGCCTTATGCTCTCTGTCACCATCAGAATTGCAAAGGTGGGGAAGGGGCAGCACAGCTCATGTGTCTGTCTGCAGTTGGCTTATCTAGGCTTTCCCTCTCCAGAGGTCCTTCCAGAGAAGGCTGACAGGGACAAGTATGAGCTGCTCTGCCCAGACAACACTCGGAGGCCTGTGGACGAATATCGTGAGTGCCACCTGGCCCGGGTCCCATCTCATGCTGTCGTGGCTCGATCTGTGGATGGCAAGGAGGACTTGATCTGGGAGCTTCTCAACCAGGCCCAGGTATCCTGACTGCTACTCTCCCTCCTGTTTAGAGCTTTCTGCTTCCATTTTTTTTGGTGGGGGGGTCCTCCTTGCCCTCTGGCTACCTTAGAAGTCCTTATGTGTTTGGGACACAGTGGAAACCCTACCACTGTGTGGAGCCCCAAGCTGGAACTCCTCACAGAGCAGCAAGGAGCCTTCTCTGGTATTCTCATCCATCATCCTTTGCCTTTTTGACCAATCAGGTCTTATTGCTTTATTCCATGCCTTTCCATCTAAGCCAGGCCTTCAAGGCCCAGGTTAAACACCGTCACCCCCATAAAGACTCATATGACCCCCAGAAGGAAACAATCTCTCTCCCCAAATCTGACACAGCTTTACTCTCTTAGAGCCGTGGGGTGTGGGGCTGAGACAATTTCTCACCCAGCACACCTGTGAGTTAGTTAGAGTTTAACAAACAGGTGACCCGTACAGTGCCAGCATTGTAAGACCATTTCCTGATTTTAGTGATCTTTTAAACATTCAGGGAGAAATACTCAAGAGAAATAAGGTGTAGCATAGTCCTATGAAGGTCCTGAGTAGAGAAGGTGCTGTGTGGGCCAGGCAGGAACACGGTCTGACTGCCATCTCTCCTGCCATCTTGAAGTTTCTCATGGTTGTTCATTTTATTTTCTGGAATTTTTTTCTTCAGTCCCAACTTGTTTTTTTATCCTCCCTGGCTTCTGTTGCAGTCACTATTCTATTTTTCTGTGGACAGGAACATTTTGGCGTTGGCAAATCCAAAGATTTCCAATTGTTCAGCTCTCCTCATGGGAAGAATCTGCTGTTTAAGGATTCCGCCCTTGGGTTCTTAAGGATCCCCCCACAGATGGACTCCAAACTGTACCTGGGTTATAGGTACATGACTTCTGTGCGGAATCTGCAGGAAGGCATATGTAAGTACTCTGAAAGAACCAGGTTAGCACAGAAACCTGACAAGGGCAGAGATGAGAGAGTCTTTGTAGGGAGCTGAAAACCTCTCCTGGACTTGCCCTGCCTGCAAGTCCAAGTTAGTCTGTTGCTAGATGGTCTTAGTCATGATAAGATGACCTGGACATCACCAAGGGCTTTAGAGAAGAGTCACTTTGTTTTGTTTTGCTTTGCTGGGGATCAAACCCAGGACCTTGTACATGCTGGGCAAGGGGTTGTACCAGTGATCTGCAAGCCCAGCACTGAAATTCACATTTTAAAAGACTTGGGCTTGTATTAGTATTACTTCCTTTGCATGAATCACTTTGTGAAGCCAGTTAGCCTGGCACAAAATAAGTAACATAGCACAAATTCTACAGATTTCATGTTTTCAGCCAGTGCTCTGGTCAACATACACTCAATGAAGCTGGAGTTCTAGAGTGGTCAATTTCAGTCCTGAATTTCAGTGGTCACTGGGGTTTTGCTGGATCATTCATTTATTCACTGGGCATGAATTAAACATCTGGCTATAAACCCTGTGAGCTACTGGACTCACAAACATAGATCAGATTCTGCTGAGAAGACAAATGTTTTATGAAGTCACACTATTGAGTGTTCAGTTACAAAATAAAAGAACCACTTAGAAGGGAAAAATAATGGCAACAACAAAATACCAAGGTCCTAAGAGTGCCAAACAAAGAAAAACAACAGGCCCTGGCCTGCAGGTTGTGGTAAGCCCCCCCCCCCCCAGCTCCCTCACCAAGGAAGTGATGTGGGGGACTGAATGTGAATGAGGAGCAGTTGTATGTTGTTTTCATCAGACATTTATTACACTGACCGTGTGCTACACTGCTTAAATATGAGGATGTCCTGGTGAACAACACAGATATGGGCCTTTCCCTGTTGGAGTTTATGTTCTTCTGTGTTGAAAGTGACAATGGACAATGAGCAAAGAAGTAAGAACATATCAGGTGAGCCAGGCACAGTGGCTCATGCCTGTAATCCCAACTACTCAGGAGGAGATTGTGGTCTGAGGCCAGCCTGGGTAAAAAGCATGAGACCCTATCTGAAAAACAAACTCAAGTAAAAAGGACTAGGAACATGGCTCGAGCAGCAGAGCATCTGCCTAGCAAGTGCCAGGCCCTAAGCTCAAACCCCAGTACCACCACCATTAACAGAAAAAAAGAAAAAGAACATATGAGGTGATTAAGTGCCATTTGAAAAAGAAGAAACAAATCAGCCAGAACTTACAGAGTGCAGGAGTTGCCTTCTTTTCATTTAGATCTAGCTTTTTTGCTGCTTACTAGGGTGAGGAATTCCTTGAGTGACATCTGTCCATTCATTGCCTGGCAAATCCCAGCATTAGGATGAAGACAGTTTGTAGCATTGAAAAGCACCAGGCAACAGGAGGGCCTTTCTCTTTTGACCTCTGACTCTTTTCTTGTGCCACAGGCCCAGAAACCAAGGAGGAGGAATGCAAGACGGTGAAATGGTGTGCACTGAGCCACCATGAGAGGCTCAAATGTGACGAGTGGAGTGTCAACAGTGGAGGGCAGATAGAGTGCGAATCAGCAGAGACCTCAGAGGAATGCATTGCCAAGATTGTGGTATGTCACTCCTGCCTCTCTACTGCCTGCTGGCCCATTGCTAAGGCTGAGCTAGAACCTTAGAGTTGGTGAATGTGGGGGATGCCTTGATGACTGTTTCTTCATATCACATAGCGAGTGTGCGGCGGGGGGCGGGGAGGGGGGACTCAGTCTGAGCTATGTACTGTGGAGTGAGGCCAGACCACAGTGTGGGTGTCTTGGGAGTAGTGTCATGATGAGTGTGGTAGGATTCTGTATTGACTGTGCAGGTAAGTTCAAATTTGTTCTGGTGATCAAAATAGTATTCCACATTTGCTTATAGAGAATTTGGAGATCCCAAATCATAAAGATAAGAAAATCAAAATGTAGCTCAGAGAAAAATTCTCTTACTGAGATCGTATTATATAGGTTACTACCTCTTACCTTACAACAGCTAGTGAGCTTCTCCTGTGTCATAAATAATTCTTAAAAAAACCATTTTGGAGCTTCTGTGTTGGTGCACACATTGAGGTGCTAAGAGGGCCTGGAAAAAGCAAGGGAGCTACAAGCTCCAAGTCCACCCCGACCCTATTCCTATGAATCTCTTCCTTTTGGCTGTTCTTGAGTTGGATCCTCTATAATAAGTAAATGTTTTGAAACAAAGGGGCATCGCTTGAAGGCCTGATGCTGTCATCAACTGATTCTTGCTGAAATCTGTCAGTTCTTCTTTTTGAGCACTTATGAATGACCACATACTTTCAAAACCATCTACTATAAAACAAAAGCAGACCATTGACCACATTCTTTCATATTTTATAAATTTCAAAATATTACCTTACACTATTTTAGCATACTATTTGAGTTTTTGTCTGAGTCAAGACAAGAAAAAAAATCAAAGGTCTGGAGGTGTGGCTTAAATGGTAGAACACTTGCCTGGCAAGCACAAGGCCTTGAGTTCAAACCCTCCCTCCCCAAAAAAGTCAAACCAAATGAAAGCAAAGGCTTCCTACTCAAAACTTATCTATATATAAATCTATTAACAGCTTGGATGATTTGTCTTCAATATTGTGCCTTACATATGATACATTAGATAAAGTTTTTATGTATGCAAAAACAAATTTAGGGAACAAAGATTCTTGGGAACATGTAAAATCTTAAATGAGGAAGGCGAAGTATAACCAAAAGGAAACATTTTTAAAAGAAAACTTGGACACTGTAATTTGCTCGCCTATAAGGATGTCAGCGTTTGAACATCTGGAATTTTGGAAATAGCTTCCAGATGTTGGGTCTAAAACCAGTGATCAACATCTTTGCCATGTTCTGTGAAACCAGGGCCAACTGATGATGGCTGCACAGCAGATTGTTGGAGTTTTATGATTGGCTTGTTAAATTATATGCTGTAATATATATAGCATAGTTCAGGAAGGTCCAACATTTATTCATGGATTAAATGAAACAGCAACATCCTTGCTAGGAAATAACTGTCTCAAAGTTGAAGGGTATAGTTTATTAGGTCCCACACCTGTGGGACATCATCGCTGTTGATGGGAACACTGACCTGTTGAGGTTCTACAGAGGTGTTGTCACACACACCATAGCTGTGGTGTGTGTGAAGGTAAGGTGGAAAACCAAGCGCCTAGGAAACCAGAGCCTTGAGGTATTGCAGTAATCAGTTCATATGTGAGTGCACAAGTGAGTGTGACAGGAGTCATGCTCTCACACGGTGGCATTATTGATGTAGCATTATTGTGTAACTGGGCTGGTGGAGAGGATTCCAGGACTGCAAGGGAAGATGTACACATTGGACATTTGCCTGAAGTCCATGTTCTAGAATTAATGCTGAGCTGGTCTTTCTTATGCATGCCTAATTGGCAATTCTTCTCCCCAGACTTTAGTGAATCAGTCTTTATAAAGAAAGAACCCCCGAGCACTGGCAAAGAAAAAAAAAAGAAAGCAAAGAATAAATCCAGGTTGACACCAACACTGATGGTAGCTGTTCTGGGAATCACGGATCAGATCTACAAAACAATGGATGAAAAAAACATATGAGATGATTAGTTTTGAACGTGATCTGTGAGCTGTTTATTCTGACCTATAATTGTAAGATGGAGTAGATTGCCAAAAGGCGTAAGACTCTACTTTGTAAGCTTTGTTTTCTGGAAATCTTGAAGCTTGCTAGGTATAAATATTCTACATATTCTGCACTGTACTGAGGTGCTTGACTTTCTGCAACCATGCAGATTTTTTTTTTTTTTTTTGGTCGTACTGGTGTTTGAACTCAGTGCCTCTGCTTACTAGGCAGGCACTCTATCATTTGAACCACTCTGCCAGCCATTTTTTTGTGGTGGGTTTTTTTTTTTTCATTTTTCTTTTATTATTCATATGTGCATACAAGGCTTTGGGTTTCATTTCTCTCCCCCTGCCCCACCCCCTCCCTTACCACCCACTCCGCCCCTCCCCTCTCCCCCCCTCAATACCCAGCAGAAACTATTTTTGCCCTTATTTCTCAATTTTGTTGTAGAGAGAGTATAAGCAATAATAGGAAGAACAAGGGTTTTATGCTGGTTGAGATAAGGATAGCTATACAGGGCACTTGACCTCACATTGATTTCCTGTGCGTGGTGTTACCTTTCTAGGTTAATTCTTTTTGATCTAACCTTTTCTCTAGTACCTTGTTCCCCTTTTCCTATTGGCCTCAGTTTGCTTTAAGGTATCTGCTTTAGTTTTCTGTGTTAAGGGCAACAAATGCTAGCTAGTTTTTTTAGGTGTCTTACCTATCCTCACCCCTCCCTTGTGTGCTCTCGCTTTTATCATGTGCTCATTAGTCCCAATCCCTTGTTGTGTTTGCCCTTGAATCTAATGTCCACATATGAAGGGAGAACATACGATTTTTGGTCTTTTGGGCCAGGCTAACCTCACTCAGAATGATGTTCTCCAATTCCATCCATTTACTCAGCGAATGATAACATGTCGTTCTTATTCCATGGCTTGCATAGAATTACCTTGTGTATAGATACCCCACATTTTTCTTAATCCATTCGTGCAGTGCTGGGCATCTTGGCTGTTTTCCATAACTTGGCTATTGGTGAATAGTGCCGCAATAAACATGGATGTGCAGGTGCCTCTGGAGTACAGTCTTTTGGGTATATCCCAAGAGTGGTATTGCTGGATCAAGATGGTAGATCGATGTCCAGCTTTTTTAAAGTAGCCTCCAAATTTTTTTCCAGAGTGGTTGTACTAGTCTACATTCTGTGGTGGGTTTTTTTGAGATAGGGTCTCATGAACTATTTGCCCAGGGCTGGCTTCGAACTGCAGTCCTCCTGATCTCTGACTCCTGAGTAGCTAAGATTATAGGCAGGAGCCACCAGTGCCTGGCATTGCAGTATTTCAGCAAAGCTAATTTTTTTTTTTTGAAGATGAAAATGGGCAGAAGTAGCTCTGTACTAGAAATACTGGAAAATTTGATGGCAATTTAAAGGTTTTTGATTGTAAGGAAAACTTTGTTAAAAAATTACAGACAGGAGAATATGTTTCTGTTTGGAAAGTAGAGGTGGCTTTGAACCTCCCATTAATAGATGACATTCGTGCATATGCAAAACATATCATTCTTACGTCACTGGATTTGTTGTGTCACATCAAAAGGATGTAACAGAATTACCTTAAGAGAAAGGACTTAAGGGACTTGGCTGCTGCTAACAGTTGTGAGACAGAAAACGAGGTACTTTAAAATGCGTTCTGAAGCTGTTAGTTCAGTGTGTCTGGCAAAGTTTAAAATGCCATTAAGAATTCATTTGAGTCCTGACTCGTGGACCCTGGAGACTGGTCTGCTGACAGAAGCCTTTGATCTGAAATGCAAAGAGCTTAAAAAACACATTAAAAACATTACCAAGCATTGCATGGAAGAAAATAACTTCTTTCAACCTGAGTTTGCGACAGTGACCTCAGATCAAATAAGCAAGTCCTTTCAATGCGTGTCACAAAGTGTGAGGCATACTCTATACTCTATACCTGAGCTGTTGTGGCTCGGGATGGCGACCGTTTTTAACAGGCAGGATTAATAAAACATGAACAGAGCATACTTACACCTGTCCCTTCTTTGCTTTTCCTGCCCTACAACTGACTACCTATGACTGTATTGCCAGTACAGGATTTTTCTGAATTATATTTTTAGGGCAGGGGATATATCTTGGTGGTAGAGCACTTGCCTAGCATGTGCAAGTCCCTGGGTTTGATCCCCAACATCAGAAAGAAGCCCTTCAAGTTTTATAACATGATTTATATGTTCATTTTATAATTTTTAAAAGTTTAGATGTTTAGAGATAGATATAGGAAATATATGAATTGGTTAATGGGGCCTTTTTACTTAGAGTATTAAAAAAGACAAATGTATTGATGTGAAACTATAAATTATAATTTTAATAAATTTTATTGATATTACATAAATTTCAAATGGTTATAAATTGAATCACCATTGAAACAGACTTGTTGTTCACATGCAACTTAGGTGTAACTATTGTCTTATATGCATTCGAGAGAAATAAATACATCTATACTTATGTTGTATTGAAAAAGAAAAGGATGATATAAAACAGTTGATATCTGTTTCCATTTGAGCCATACCTCCAGTCTGTTTCGCTCTGGTTATTTTGGAGTTGGGGTTCTCATGAACTATTTGCCCTGGCTGGCCTTAAACTGTGATCCTCCCGATTTCAGCCTCCCAAGCAGCTAGGATTATAGGCATGTACCACTGGTGCTTGCCTTTTGTTTGTTTATTTATTTCATTTTCTTTTTTTTGGCAGTACTGGGGTTTGAACTCAAGGCTTTCTGCTTGCTAGGCAGATGCTCTACCACTTGAGCCATGCCTTCAGCCCATGGGTCTTCATTCTTGAACAAAATTAGCAAGGCACCTTGAAGTGACCATCAGTCCACAATGGTTATGATGGTTGGGTGAAAATGAGAGCACATTTTATTTTCTGTGTTGGGTGTGACTGACTGACTGTTCTTTTAGGGGTTCAGTAAAAACACCTACTGTTTCCCTGGCATCATAATGTTTTTTGGGAGTGCCTTTCAAGGAAATAGCTGGATGGGCACATGACACCGGAAGTGGCATCTTTTCATTTGCTGTGATTTGCTGTGTCTTTGCAGAATGGAGAAGCTGATGCTATGACCTTGGATGGAGGACACGTCTACATAGCAGGCCAGTGTGGTCTAGTGCCTGTCCTGGCAGAGAACTATGGTGAGTGGAGGGGAGTACCTCTTTGTTTTCTTCCTTCTGAGTCATAGAGAGAGAATATAGAATCACAGCTCTCCCTAAAATTGAGTGCTTCCTACTTCCCAGGTTCTGGACTCCTTCATCTGGAATCCTCACAGTCATCCTAAAGGGTCATACCCTTCAGCAGTAAGAATGGAAACTCTATGCTGTGAAACCCCTGCTAAAAGTGTTAAAGTGACCCAGATGCAGAGGACAGCTGGGGTTTCTGGAAGGTCTTCCAGTTTGCAGAACTCATGCTTTTCTTGCTGCCTTGTTAGAGGGATTTAAATACAGTTGCTAGCACTCTCCTGTGAGCTTACTGCAGACATGGCAGGAAACTAAAAATCCACGATTTGTATATAAATTCTAGAGGTCAGCAGTGGAATGAACTTGCATCATCCAGAGATGGGTGTTGGAAGTTAGTGACCGGTATAGTTTTATCTGACTTTTTCTTCTTAGTTGCTGCATGAAAAAGGCTTGGTTTTCCAATCTAGACTGAAGGATTTAATACTTTCTTCATTTTCTCTCCTTCAGAAAGCTCTAATTGTACGAAACCACCAGAGGCAGGTGAGTTGGAATTGGTAACCTCAGGCATTAAAAGGTAAATTCATATTGTTCTGGGGAAATGGTTGAGTTTAAAATTCAAATTACAAGTAGGTAAGGCAACGGAAGAGTCAATTTTTAGAACATAAAAGAATCATGAAAGGATAGTTGATAATGATAGCTTTTCTTTGATATTTGCCATGACTTGCACACAGGCTTTCTCATTTTGTCCTATGAGGTTGGTACTGCATAACAGGACCCGTGGCTCAGAGTTTATGAATTGTCTAGGTTTGTACATCCAGGAAGAAAATCCAGCCCCTTCCCACTGCTTCCCATGAGGTCTACACACTTTTGGATGAGAGTTAGCACCAGCCAAGGAACCTTGCCTTTTCTGCTCCTTACAGGGCTGAGTAGAGAACCTTAAAAAGGCAGATGTCTAGGAGCTTGAAATTACCTGACCTCCCAGCCAGGGCTGGGCCCAGGAACCCAAGCCAATCTGGCTCCCACCCAAGAGTCTGGCTAGGGTGGATCTAGAAAGATGGTGCAGGAACAAATAAAGCCCCTATATTCAGACCTCAGCAGGTCCAGGTAGCCGTCAAGTCTGTCCTGTCCCTTCTGCTGAGAACAACCTGCTAGCCTTGCCACATCACTCTACAAGCCAAGCACTTTAGCAAATCAGAAAGAGTCATTCTTATTCCATGGGTAACAAGGACTCTGCTTTCTTGGAAATGGTATTCTGACCTAATTAAATTAGAAACTAAAATCATGGGTTGGTGTCCTGTTCTCCATCATAAGGACCAGCACGTATTTGAAGATGGCAGCTGATGTTTTTGATATTTTCAACTTTGCATATTTATGTTCACATAAAACTATATTCTCTTATCAGAAAATGTGGTTTTGTGAATCCCCTGATGTTTATCGGTCTTCTACTACTCTATCCCAATACGCGATGGTTTATAAAACATTAGAATTACATTAGCTGTTCAGTATCCATTCCATAATCCATTAGAGGGAGAACTGCTCGTTTTTAACCTCAATGACTATGCATTCAGGAAAGGGTTACACACCAGTCACTGCTCTAATGATAATGTATTTGCAGAATTTTAAACTGATACATAAAAACATAAAAATGATACTTAGTAATAGGGTACTATGTGATCTTAGTGTCTTGTTTCTAAAGTTCAGATGAATCTCTTCCCGACAGTCAGTACTATGGAAGACATAACGGATGATGCTGGACTCTTTGCTGTTCTAGAGAGATGGTGCCTTCAATGGAAGCAGACACTTTGGAGACCCACAAGGTTTTCGTATTTCTTTCTCTCCTGGTGTCTTTCTTGTAGGGTATTATGCTGTGGCAGTGGTGAAGGCGTCGGATGCTGACATTACCTGGAACAATCTACAGGGCAAGAAGTCCTGTCACACTGCAGTGGACAGGAACGCTGGCTGGAATATCCCATGGGCCTGATTAACAGCAAGATCAACCACTGCAGATTTGGTGAGTGAATCCTGGGAAGAGCTGTGGTGAGAATCACACCAGAAAGAAGGATCTTGGGTACAAGAAATGGGGGGCTCTGGTTCCATAGGAGTAAAATTTGGTGACAGTGAACCTCAGAGAAGTATCAAAAAGGACTGGAAGGCTGGGGAACGGGGAAGCTGAGTCAAGATGGTTCCTGTCCATTGCACACAAGGGCTTAAGTGGATATACATTTAGTTTTATCTCTCATGAAAAAGGCCAGAGTTGAGCAGTCCATGGCTGGCTGGTAAGATCACAAGGACTCCTTCTCTCCCTTTGTGCTCCACCATTCCCAACCAAGGTCATCCTACATTCCACATTCAAGGTCATCCTATGGTTGCCATCAAATTCAGGACACAGGCAGCCCTAAGTACTCAGGAACTAGAGCAAATGGAAGTTTATACCAACTGTGGTGAACTTGTAAAGGGGCCTTCCAGGATGGCTGATCAATTATTTTAGCTAACTTCCCAGAACTTAGGTGCCTCACCACACCTAGCCATAAAAGAGAAATGCAGTCTTTTATTTGGGTGTGTTCCTACCCCCAAACAAAACTAGATTGTTGTCACTAAGGAATAAAGAGGAATGGATATTGGTTGGGCAGGGAGCCAGCAATCTCTTGCCACAGGAATTCTATAGGCTGTGTGAGTGTGTGTGATCCCTGGGTTTTTAAAGTGTTGGAGGTCTTGCTGAGTTGCTTCCTGGCTCCTAGAATTGATCTAAGTGGTAGATATCAGTTTACTCTCTATGTCCTTTGAATATTGCCAGGTAGGAGTTTATTTCTAACCCCATAAGCTTCTGGGTGTAAGAGCCCCAATACAAATGTTTTACAATGGTTCTGATTTGCATTAGCTTCCTGAATACTTCCTCTGTGCTACTTCCAAATTTGGGCAACTTCTTGAAAAAAAAAAAAAAAAAAAAAGAGAGGCCTGGAAATCTGGTATGAACCTAGCAAAGCCCTCATGTGTAAGGATGGGAGAGGAGACCACTTTTCAGTACCAGGATGCTTTGGCACCCCAGTTTGACATAAACAAAGTGCATCTGGGTCCCCTTCAGAAAACTTGGGCTCCTGACTCCTGCTCTCCTGAGCTTCTTAGAACTTTTCAGCCAAGGGCTATGAGTTGAACTGCAAGGAAAATTCCCTATTCCTTTCTTGAATTTGGAGGTGTAGTAAAGGCTCTTCTAAGGAATGACAAGGGGAGGTCACATCTGAAAACAGGTGGCACAAGCTGAGGAATTCCATGTTTTCTTTCTTTAGGTTGCTGATAACATCATCATGGTGTTCAAAGAAATTCCCTTTACCCTGTAATGAAATGATCATGCACTCCTTTTCCTAACCTCAATAAGTTTCTTTGGTAGTTCTGGGTTGGTGGGTGGCAGGTTATAGAATGAATTGATACGTTCTACTTCTCCTGGGCCATCCAGGCCTGTTGTGTGATAAATAAAAGCCCCTAGTATTAACCCAGGAAGAGCTGACTTCCTCTTGTCTTCTACACAGATGAATTTTTCAGTCAAGGCTGTGCCCCTGGGTATCAGAAAAATTCCAGTCTCTGTGATCTGTGTATTGGCCCTAGCAAATGTGCATCCAACAATAAAGAAGCATATTATGGCTACACGGGGGCTTTCAGGTGAGTCTTTTAATCCTAACATAAATATAACAATATCCCAGTCTTGACCAGATAGATTTCTTTTAGAAACTAATGTGAGATTCTTATGTTACTAGTCTGTTCATTGCTGTACATATTCAGCTGGGAGATTTTGCAACCAAATGTACAGCCATGTGTGAAGGGGTATTTAGACACCTCCAAGACACTGTTAGCCAGATCTGGCTGTCACAGACAGCAGAGATTGATACATGGTATGGTTCAGTGGATCTCAGCTGGGAACAATTTGCCCTCCAGGAGACATTGACAATGTCCATAGATTTTTTTTTGATTGTGATATGTTGGGGAGTTCTACACTAGAGGCAGCTAGATATAACCCATAGGACAGCATTGAACAACAAAGAATGATCCAGCCCCCAAATGTCACTAATGTCAAAGAATGAAACCCTAATGTACTTGAATAAACATTGTCAGGAGTTAGCTTGGCTCAAGCTCTTCCATGCACCTCTGAGTCACTTAGAGCCATACACATCTGGAAACACAGAGTAGTGAAGTCCACCACTTCTAAATTCTTCTCTACAATTGTATTTTATAGAATGCCTACCGTTTTTGTTGAGACAATTCTGTCTTACTATGCTATTACTTTTTAGCTGCCTTTCTGCTTCAGGCCTTCTGTTATCATGAATCCATGAACTGTACAATGGTGGTGACACTGTAATTGAACTTCCCAGTAGGAAATGAAAAACAAAGATCATCCTTATTTTCCAGGTAGAACCAAATTTGTGGTTAGAGCAAGTATAATTCACCCCACACACATTCATAATTGTACAAACTAGAGTGTGTTCTTTTCATAGGACTTAAGACTTTTGTGGGGAGACTTAGAACGCAGCCCCCTTTGACCTTTTCTTTGCCTTTTTCTGGTGCTAACATGTTTGAGGATTGTAGGTCAAGAAAAAAAGGCTCAAACTTTGCTTATACAAATATGTTTAAAAGTTCCTTTTCCCAAAAAAAGTGTTATATAACTTAGCTCTGACATCTAAGATGTTGAAGTAACAGACCATGAACGAATGCTTGAACAGCTTCAGGAAGAGGCCAGCCCATTTCCCTTAAAGCCAGGAGAATAAGGAATGGGCCTACTTTATAGTAGTCTGGTGGACTTGGATCACTGAGCCGGCCCTTGTGAAGACATCAAAGCACACATTAGTTCATTGTCTATGTCGTGTGCACTTTCAAAGGAGTTCAGTAAAAATAATACAGCCACACTCTGAACAGAGTTAATTTTGCTAGTATTTCTTTTCTGAAACCTCTTGAGGACTTGTAGGGGCTCAGAGCTGTGATTATGACCCCCAGTACTTCCCCCAGAGACACATGGACAGGGAATTAGTAGAACCAAGGCTCATTTATATTGGGTTTTGCTATACCCTCAATTTCTCAAAAACCCAAACCAAAGACTACTGAATATTAGAATTCTTTTTAAGGGGATGAAAGATATCACAAATTTTGAAGTTTTGGTCTCTCACAAATGTTGCATAAACATCTTTCAAAAAAATCTGAAGGAATGGAGTTTTTCATTCACATTTCATACGTTGGGTGAGGCACCACTTTACTGGAAAACTGATTCTCTCTTTCCTTGTTGATGGTGGGAAAAGGGTGTAATCTGTTGGAGAAACTGTAACAAAAATTATGATTTAATATGTGGACTTGAGATTGTATAACTGCCCAACAACGTGGAGCCTTTCCTTTCCCTTTCCCCTTTTTCCTCTGCTTTCTCTTTCCCCTCTCCTTCTCTCCCCTCCTCTTCCCTCCCTTTCTCTCTCTTTTCCTTACACTGCTTGGTAATAGAAGAGAAGCTGCAATTTCTGATATCATATGGCCAGCCTGGATCGATAAGGTGGGCCCCTGAATGACACATATATCAACCTGATCTCCTTTCTTTCTCTCCCTGTCTGGACCTTTGCAGGTGTCTCGTTGAAAAGGGAGATGTGGCCTTTGTGAAACATCAGACTGTCCCACAAAACACTGGTGGTATGTACATATGCTCTTCTGTCCCTATGAAATCACTCGGATTTACGGGTATTCAGTGGCGACTTTGTAGAAGCATTCAGACACTATCAGACATCGGATAGATAGAATGACCAGGCTCACGAGGAACCCAATGGCCCTAAATCCCCTCACCCCACCCCACAGTCATAGCATAGGCCTGATGCCCCTTACCCCTAATACTCCAGTACCTCTTTCCCAAGAGCAAGGCATTTTCACATATGTACGGTACAATTACCATGATCAGGAAATTTTACGTTACATGGATTTAATGCTACAGAGTATAAATTCAAGTGTTGCTAATCATTTCAATCATGCCCTTTATAGCTATTTTTTCTATTTCTTGGCTCTGTGGGCTGGGATGTAGAGCACTTGCCTAGCATTTGTGAAGCCCTAGGTTTGATTCCCAGCACTACAAAATATACAGTCACATTCATGGGGGAGGAGGCCAATGGTACACTTGTAGGAATGAGCACCAAGATGTTGACTCTAAATACGATTCTCTGAAAAAAAAGAAATCAGGAAATCCTTGAAAAAAATTAGCTAATTCCAAGTTTGGATTGGGAAAAATATATAGATTGCTGCTTACACTGAAGCACTCTGAGTGATGGGACATGTCAAAACACATAGGAGCTAACTTGAAGGACCTCCCATTTCCAAATCTGGGGAATTTGAACCGTATAATAAATAATGAAAGCAGTCAAGAATAATAACCCATTGAATAAAATAAGAACCCAGGAGGCAGTACTGACTAGAGAAATGAAGAGAGAGATCTTCCTGGTTGTAGAATGGTAGCTAATGAATGTAGAAGGAATGGCAAAGTTAGGAAACTGTCATTTGGTGACCAATTTGTTGATGATTGAGGCAAAAATCATCAATGGGAGCTAATCTGTCCTTGAGTCTTGCCCATGTCCTCCTTCCTTCCCACAGAGAGGCATTCTTTCTTCTTTCCTCATCCAGTGCCTATTACAAAACATACCTAAAATCTAGTCTCCTCTAGCCAGCTTCCCTAATTAATGTGCTCTCAACACCCTGTTTCTGAACTCATGAAACACTTCACCTGCAGACCACGTGAATGTCCCTTCCTCTCCACGTCACTGAAACCCCAGTGCATGCACTCTGCTGGCCAGAAAGGCCCCGATCCGCCACACACCAGTGGGTTGTTCACGTCCTCCCAGTGACCAAGGCCATCAGATTTGGCTGATCCACCTTCTCTCTTCCCCCAGGAAAGAACCCTGAGCCATGGGCTAAGGATCTGAAAGAGGAAGACTTTAAGTTGTTGTGCCTTGATGGCACCAGGAAGCCTGTGTCAGAGGCTGCAAACTGCCACCTGGCCCGAGCCCCAAATCATGCTGTAGTCTCACGGAAAGATAAGGCTGCTTGTGTTAAGCAGCTGTTATTTAACCAGCAGGTATGGAGCAGATAAGGTCTTCCAGCATTCATTCCTAAATGGGTGTAGGTTATTTGGGGGAGTTCACAGCTAAGTATGGCTCTGTCTCCAGAATTCTTTTTCTGAAGACTAGAATAGGTTGTGGACCAGAATGTCTGGGTTCAAATGTCAGCTTGGCTGTGCCATGTTACATCCATGCCTCAGTTTCTCCACATATAAAATACGAAGGATAATACTTAACCCGTGTATCAGCTAATATGAGGGTTAAGCGAAGTAATGCATACAAAAGGCACAGGAAAATGTGTAGTCTATAACATGCTACTTACTCAGGTTTGGAACTGGGTCTCTCAAGCCTGGATCTGCTTCTGTCTCCAGGTCACTGGAGAGAAATCCCCATGTGAGCCATGCGCTCTGAGCACCAGGGCTCTGCCTTCCTTCTTCCCTTGACTTTGATCAGAGACAAATTTATTTTCCCCACATCCATCCTTTCTAAAAGTGAAGAAGAGTGATTCTTTTTCCCAGCATTCCTTCCTGTGCCTTAAAGAGTGGATGTCTATTTCTCTTGCCTCGGCAGACTGAGCAGTGTTCTCAATAGTCTGAAAAACACAGGACCCCTACCTTCAGAGAGCCTGCTTTTTAGGGAGAAGAAGGAAGTCAGGGGCCATCCTCACAGGGGAGAGGGGCTGTTTGAGTATTCTAGTCCTAAAAGCCCCTCTACTCACAAATGTCACCTTTCTCTCCCACATAGCTTCTTCCCTGTTGATTCACCATTAGTTTTTGGTTTTTTTAAATTAAGATACGTATCTTCAGAAGTCTTCTTAAAACACACAATGACAATAATGAGCATTTCAGGAATATTCCTGAGGTGTTATATGGAATGCTAAACTTTTTACGGTTATCATTTCACTTATAACCTTAGGAGGTTGGTCCAAGCTAGGACTCAAAAGGCAGTCAAACATGAACTTGTCACAAACTCTACCACTCCTCAGGGAGGGCTCAATGTCTTTTTTTTTTTTTGGCAATAATATTGGAAGGGACATATTGTCCTTTCATTTCCTATAAACAGCCCCCAAGGGACTTGGGCAATGAAGTAGTGAAGAGAGATCCCAGAGAGGCAGGAATGGGTGGGCAGGAGGGACTTCTCAGAGGAGAGTAGGATGCCTATAAAGGGCGTCTGGGCATCATGAAAGTATGGAGTTGGGGCTCCAAGTGGACAAGTGACAGGAGAGGGAGGTGGAAAGCTCTTGAGGCATATTCCCCTTTGTCCCCAGAGCTGGCTCAGAGCTTCCAGCCTCCTCTGATGCATGTGTTCCCAGCTACTCACGGCCACAGGTCCTCACACACTTTCTGTCTATTTGCAGACTGAATTTGGAAGTCATGTATCTGACTGCTCAAGCAAGTTTTGTATGTTCCATTCTAAAACCAAGGACCTTCTGTTCAGGGATGACACAAAATGTTTGGTTAAACTTCCGGATGGCATCACACATGAAGAATACTTAGGAGATGAGTTTTCCAAGGCTTCTGGTGGCATAAGAAAATGTTCAACCTCACGTGAGTAGGGGGAACAACATGAGGAAATTGCAAACAAAACAGTGGTGGCTTCTGGGATGATGACAACAAAGGAGAAGTAGACTGTGGCCCTCAGGATATGGTCACATGGCTGAGATGAAACAGAGAGAGGACAATCTCGCCCAAGTCCATCATGTATGATAGGCTACCCTGTACGGGCAGTTAGGAAGGGGTACACAGGCCCAGGACAATTAAGTAGTGGCCTTATTGGACATACAGCCTCCTGTCTTATTTCTAAGAAAATGAAAAGGTTATGTGTACATACATCCATGGATCTGCCGTAAACTTTTTATTCGAGTTGCTTTGTTCAATATGGCAGCCGTGAGCAAGATGTGGCTTTTCAAATTTAAAGTTGGATTAAATTAAAAATGTATTTCCTCAGTCCTACCCAGCCACATTTGAAGGGCTTGGTAGTCACATGCAACTCCATATTGATCACTAGAGAGGATATTGTTGCAGAAAGTTCTTTCAGTCAGTACTGCTTTAGAAAGCTTCAAGAATGGTAAGCTCTAGCCTGATGTGGTGGAACTCACTTGTAACTCCAGCACTTGGGAGACCAAGGCAGAAGGATCTCCCCAAGTTTGGGGCCAATCTGGACCACATAGGAGATCTTATTTCAAAATAACAACAATAATGAAAAAGATAAGTTCTGGTAATATGAAGTTGTCAAGCATACAACTCATCTGGAACACCAGGTTCTAAGAGCTAAAATAGAATAGAACACACTTTTGTGTTCTAACTGTGGTGGGAATAATTGAATCACTTATTCCTGGACCTGGAGATACTGGTTCAGCAAGTCTGTGTAGCTCAGGGTGACTGTACTTTAAAAGGTGCTCCATGTAATTCTGATACAAGCAATGTGCTTGTCCAAGCCCACTGTTGGAAAAAGCAAGTAAATATTGACACAACCTGTGTCCTGTACTATGGCTCTACTATGCTGGTCTCTATCCCTATCTCCCATCACAGGAACTGGCAGGCACTTCTTGTTCTGTCCGTTCCTCACCTGCCTAAATAGCTCAGGGACAAGTCTTCTTGGTGTGTGAGCTCCACCCATGAGACACAGGGTAGGGGTGCATAGTTTAGGGAAATCATGTCACATCTTTTACAACCTTGGTGTGGGGCCCCCCAGGGGAGGTACAGGGGCTGTGCAGGAAGTGGAGATGGGCACTGGAAGAACGGCCCAGTCCATGCATCAGAAGAGCAGGGCCACCAGTCTGCTCTAAATTTGCTCAACAATTCATAAGTAAACATAAGTACACTCAGAAAGTCCCACCTCTCTGCTCTGCTCCACAGGACTCCTGGAAGCCTGCAATTTCCACAGAGGTTAAAAGCCACCGATAGGCTGTCATTGTGATGGAGATGGGAACTCAAATCACCACAGGCTTCCCTGGTCTCCATGGTCTGAGGGGTGTGTTCCAGCTCTGTCCATCTTCACCACTCTGTGTTACCATGTGCATATTACATAAAATAAAAATTATTGTTGCCTTTATATTTCAAAAACTCCATTCTTTTCTAAATGTTTCCACCAGAAGGATTTCTTTATACCATCTGACTACGTACATATGCAACCAAATCCTCTCTTCTGAGCCTAGGATTCATCTAATCTTTTCCTATAGTTCTGTGTGGTGCCACAGCCACACATCCTGGGTCTAGTCCAAAGAGGAACCTTTTCTAAAAGGGTCTGCATGCCCATTATAATAATAAATCAATATGGTCATGTGTGTGTGTGTGTGTGTGTGTGTGTGTGTGTTGCCAAGGAAGGGGCAGGAAAGAGGATACAGAGTGAGTTACAAAAAACAAGTACTCCTGTAAGTACAGAAGACTTATCAGGCTGGGGGCCTAGCAGGCACAAGGGCTTGAGTTCAAACCCCAGTACTGCCAAAAGCAGACTTACCTTTTTTGATATTTTTAATGCATTCCATCTGGCATAGCCAACATTCTGATTCAAACCCATTGAAAAAGTGAAGCTGAAACCACTTTTGCTAAAAAAATCTTCCCCTGAGGCTGATGCCCTAGAAGTTTCTGCCCTGTCTCCTCCCTTTAGCCCAGTTTCCTGTACAGTGGAAGGTCATTTTTCCGTGTCTGATTTATTATTATTGGCTGAATACATGGGAACTTAGTCTTTTGCTCCACCCACTTCCCCAAAGCCACCCTGGCAAAAGTCACTACTCCCTGCCAACTGAACGGACTTACTTATTTCACTCTTGAGGCTGCACTTGATGCAGGGGATTGCCCCCTCAGCTTCTTTGACACGGCAGCTCTGCTTTGGTTCCTACCTCTCTCATCTGTGGTCTTTTCCATGAACTCATCCTATCAGCCTGGAGATCTTAGGGAAGTCTGCCTGGAGTTCTTCTCTTGATCTAGTGCTCCTCTCACTTTCCAAGTCCTCCTCCAGCAATGCTAATGAATCCCGGGCATCCATATTAATAGTTGTGACCTCAGCCTCCGGCACTGTCCACTCCTCACCTCCTACTACCTGTGGGTCTACACTGTAAAGTCTTAGAGCTATTAGAAACCTGACAAGTGAAAAACAGGCTGCAGGTGTAGTTCAGTGGTACAGCCTTTGCTCAGCATGCTTGAAGTCCTGGGTTCAATCCCCAGTACCACAACAAAACAAACTCCCCCAAACTGAGGGGGTTATCTTCACTGAGCCAACTATTGTTATAGTATATTTCACTCACCGGAAAACATCATGCCATCACTGGAGGTGCCAAGTCTCAATCCACTGTTTTCCTCCACTCCACATCCAGTATCATAAAGTTCATTGATTTGCCTTCTAAAAACCTCTCCACTTGGCCCCTGTCTTTTTCTAACTCCTGTCACTGGCCTCAATTTACATTCAAACGCAAAACTGCCGGTGAGGGTTCTGCATACAACTTTCACACCACTCTTTTTCTTTTAACAAAAATATTTTGTAAGCCTACATTAATGGTACAAGGGGAAAGTCACTGTGATAATTCCATAGCTGACCTCTCAATTTTCTAGCCCCTAAGGACACAGGACTCTGAGTACACTTTGCAGTCCAGACCTGCTTTGCTCTGAGTCTCTCAACACTTTAATATTCACCTAAATTCCACCTTTACCCCAGACCATAGATACTTTGTCTTGGCCTTTGTTTGGTGAGATGCCCCATGGTTCCTCGAGGATGTGGTCTGTCCCTTTGCAATGGGTCACTAAATCTAATTTCTGTAGACTACAGGAACTCTTAGGCAATAGGACCTAAGCAATAACATTCAGCATCCACTCTTAATTATTAAATTAATTACTAAAGATAGGTGTTACTACTGCACAGGGATCTTATATACATAGAATCAAAGGTGATATACACATATGGTGAAGAAACAGAAACATTACTACTTTTGTAGTAATGTTAGGGACATGCAGAAGAAACCCATTAATTACTATTTTATTTCACAGTGTTTTGGAGCTGGTAACCAATCCAATTACGTAAGAAAACTAAGTAAGATATAATATTTAAAGAAACATCAAATTACTGTTATTTGTAAGTGATAATTGTACACGTAGAAAAATTCATAAGACTAAATAATAAAATATTAAAAGTACTAAAATAAAATTCAGTAAAGTGAAAGGAAAAAAATGTTAATTAATTTTCCCTTATAGAAATAATAGTAAAGACATTGATTTGTAAGGATAAATAAAATGTATCATTTAGTAAGTTAATAAAGGCTACATTTAAAAGCCATTTAAACCACATTTAGTATAGCAAAAAAGGTAGATTGCTTTGGATAGGAAGACTCAATATTGTAAAGAAGTCAATTCTAATTAAATTAATTAACATGAGAAAACAGCACTAATAATTTAAAAACAGACTTAAATGAGACTGAAAAGAAAAACTCTGAGAAGAGCAATGACAGTAGACTAGCTAGCTCCTCCAGCCGTTACAAGGCATGACAAGCTCCTAGACATTGACCATGGCCTTGCCAATGACTTTTGTTTTTTTTGATGTCACATCAAAAACTCAGGCATGTTTGTTTTACTCCTGTGTCATTGACTCAGAGAGGAACTCACAAAGTAGTCTAACTTACTTCCAACTCAATGAAAATCTAGCTTGTAGTTGAGGAATTTTACATTTGCTCCTGCACCTGCTTGATACAAGTTTTCAGATTTCCCAGAAGCCCCTGAAACATAACCTATAGAAAAGAGAGAGAATTTTCATTCTCATTACGCCCTCCCATTGAGTGCCAGCTCCAAACCCCTTCTTACTGAGGTCCTTCATTCACTTAATATCATTCTCTTCTTCCCAGTCACTCTCTCCAGCCTTGATCCCTCTTCTACGTGACTCATCATATCCTAACTCACCTTTTCACATCCTGTGTATTCCAACTTCTAAACATCTCTCAAATCTGTGCCTTCCTTTCAGTGCTTGCCTTTGTCCTGGGCATCTTTTGCCTAAATATTACAAGAGATCGCAGTTGGCTGACCTGTCTGCAGTCTTTTCTCTCTCAGTCATAGTTGTCTTCATAGATCTATCAATATCTATGTCACTCTCACCTGAAACTTCCAATTGCATTCAGAATAAACTCTAGGTTCTGCAGCAGAGCACACACAACCCTTTCAGTCTCATTCCTGACAGCCTTTCCAACTTTATCTTCTACCACTCCTACTTCAATGACTATTCTAACCAATTTTTATAGATTTTGCAGCTGATGATTTGAAATCTATTGATCACAAGGTCAAACTAATTGCCGAAGTTCTTGTTTCACTTGTAACTGGTTTTTGAGTGTCTCTAAATCATATTGTAAACCTTCCAAACACAAACCTTAACATCTTTGCTTTGCTTCTTGCCTAATCAAAACTGTCTCCACCTAGCTATACTCCCTGTCACACTAGTGATAAGGGGAGAGTCCCAGATCCTGACTGGAAATCCTCAGGTGGAGATTTCAAAAGCCACTCAACTTACTCATTTCATTATTCTTCCAACAGTCATAAAGAAGGTAGCTGTATTGGGGGGGGAGAGAGGGAGGGGGGGAGAGGGAGGGGGCGGAGTGGGTGGTAAGGGAGGGGGTGGGGGCAGGGGGCAGAAATGAACCAAGCCTTGTATGCACAAATGAATAATAAAAAAAAAAAAAAAAAAAAAAAAAAAAGAAGGTAGCTGTAATCCTAGCTACTCAGGAGGCAGAGATCAGGAGGATTGTGCTTGAAGCCAGCCCGGGCAATACTTTGTGGGAGTCTATCTTGAAAAACCCATCACAGAAAAAGGGCTGGTAGAGTGGCTCACATGGCAGAGTGCCTGTCTTACAAGTGTGAGGTTTTGAGTTCAAACCCCAGTGCCAACAAAAAAGCAGTTATGAAGAAGGCAGAGGCAACAACCAACATTGTAATTTTTCTCTACAGCGTTCTAGAAATTCAACTAGAGCAGAAGGAGCAGTCAGAGAACTATTCTTGTTGGACTTTGTGATTCTGCGGGAGGAAAGGGAGCGACAGCTCCCATCTTGAAGAATGAGTGCATTCCTTGTGGAGTAACTGTTCTGCTCTTCAGCTTCTGTGGGCTCAAGGCGCACCAGAGAACTACAACTCCCATCAGGCATCGGGGGAATCCCCGGCAGCCGCAAGGCGGGGACAAAGCGTAAGAACTACCACTCCCATGATGCCGCGCTTCTTACGCATGCGTAGAGCGCAGGGCCACGTTGCTTTTGCGGCACCTGAGACCACGCGCCTTATCTATGGCTACTGTGGACTCCCGGCGGGTGGGGGATGGCGGCGGTGCCGGGGGCACCTTCCAACCTTACCTAGACTCCTTGCGGCAGGAGCTGCAGCAGAGGGACCCGACGCTGTTGTCAGTAGTGGCTGCGCTCCTCGTAGTGCTGCTCACGCTGGGTAATGAGGCGACCGGGTTACAGCGGGTGGGGGCGGGGTGGGCAGGGGTCCGGGCTTTGGGTTGCGGACCGGGATGCGGGACAGGAGAGCCACTTTGGGGTGTCTACACCACCCTGCCCTTCTGCCTGAAGTCCCGGCAGCAGCGCTGCGTTAAAGGGGGATCGCGAGCCAACTCCAGAGTGACCTGGCTCTGGGGACACGGTTACCCTTTATGAGCCTCTGGTTCCTTCCCGTCCATTACCTTAGTGCCGAGACCGACGGGGGTCTTTACACCAACTTTGAGCTTCCTGTGTTTACGAGCTGTGCGAGGAGGGGACACAGGAAATAAGGTGCCACTTGAGGTACCCACAGTTAGGCTAGTAAGGGATGTGGACGTGAAAAGTTGGCAGTAGGTAGTGGTTGGCCCTTAGTGGGTTCTTAACTATAACCATTTTAATGGCGGTGGTAGCACTAAAAGTCAATTCCAGGTGAATGCGGTGTTTTGTTGTAGATGGCTGTTAATACTGTTTTATCATTAAGGTGCAATTTTCTGTGGTTTTTCTCTACTCCGTAGTGTTCTGGAAGTTCATCTGGAGCAGAAAGAGCAGTCAGAGAGCTGTTCTCTTTGTTGGCCTTTGTGACTCTGGGAAAACATTGCTGTTTGTCAGGGTAAGTGCTTTGATTTCCACTTCTGCTAAACTTAACAGAAAATTTTATGTCATCCCAGTTTTCCTGTGATCTTTTGGTTTATTTGTTGAAAGAAACTTATGCTGGCAAATTTGGGAGTTAATTCTTGATTTGCGAGGACAAAAAGACTCTTGGAAAACCTATATAAACTAAAAATTTATAGCCACTTCTGTTTTTTTGCCCTTACCAGATGTTAACATTTAGTCCTTAATACATGTAAAGGTTTTACTATTTTATTTATTTTGGTGGTACTGGGAGTTGAACTCAGGGCCTTGTGGTTGCTAGGCAGGTGCTCTACCACTTGAACCACTCCATCAGACATTAAAGGTTTTATTAAATATTCTGTGGGTAAGGATGCCAAAACTGTTGAAGACACAGAAACCAGCGACCTACATACAGTTCATAATTTGTCAGGTAACCAATCCTGTGAGAGCTTGTCACAGACTTTTTTGGTAAATGTTTCAGATTTCAGTGTTTTTAAAATTTTGGAGTATTTGTATAGATGTTACCAGTTTAGTATCCCTAATGTGAAATTCGATTTGCTCCAAAATTCAAATCTTTAAAATATGTATGTGTGTATTATTCTTTGTAAAATGTGTTGTAACTCAATTTAGACCCATTGATTCCTTTTTTTTTTATTCATATGTGCAATGAATTTATACAATGTTTGGGTCATTTCTCCCCTCTTCCCCCCCACCCCCTTTCTTACCCCCCACCCCTTCTCTCCCCTGCCCCCTCACTTTCAGGCAGAAACTATTTTGCCCTTATCTGTAATTTTGTTGAAGAGAGGGTATAAGCAATAATAGGAAGGACCAAGGGTTTTTGCTAGTTGAGATAAGGATAGCTATACAGGGAATTGACTCACATTGCTTTCCTGTACACGTGTGTTACCTTCTAAATTAATTCTTCTCGAACTACCCTTTTCGCTGTTTCCTGGTCCCCTTCCCTATTGGCCTTGGTCGCTTTAAAGTATCTGCATTAGTTTCTCTGCGTTGAGGGCAACAAATGCTAGCTAGTTTTTTGGGTGTCTTACCTATCCTCATATCTCCCTTGTGTGCTCTCGCTTTATCATGTGATCAAAGTCCAGTCCCCTTGTTGTGTTTGCCCTTGATCTAATGTCCGCATGTGAGGGAGAACATAGAATTTTTGGTCTTTTGGGCCAGGCTAACCTCACTCAGAATGATGTTCTCCAATTCCATCCATTTACCAGCGAATGATAACATTTCGTTCTTCTTCATGGCTGCATAAAATTCCATTGTGTATAGATACCACATTTTCTTAATCCATTCTTCAGTAGTGGGACATCTTGGCTGTTTCCATAACTTGGCTATTGTGAATAGTGCCGCAATAAACATGGGTGTGCAGGTGCCTCTGGAGTAACCTGTAAGACCCATTGATTTTTACAGAACGTTCTTTTATAATAATAGCCATGCTGAGGTTGCACTTGGGCTGTGATTTGACCAATCCAAGAACATCCTAGTCTGCTGATTCTTTCCCCAATGATTTTATTGTCATTAAATATGATATGTGACATGTTTCTGGTAGATATTTGTGTGTTCACAAGATGAACTTTACTCATCCATCAGTAATAGGAGCCACTTCCTTGCTGAATTAGATAATATTAGAAGAATACACTCAACTTCTTTTGCTAACCACAGTGTGAGGGCTCTAGACCTAGTGCACATTTAAGTTTAAACTACATTATTTACCTTACCTTTCTCAACTGTTAAACAATAAAAAAATAAAGCCCAGTAGCTTTTGCTCATTTCCATGGTGTATATATCCACAGCATGGTCAGTTCTAAGTTACTAGGCTAGCATTGTTAAAAGACTTTCAGAAAGGATCATTGTTCTTTGACAGTCTAGTTATACTTCTTTTCTCTAATATTTATTTACTTGTTTATTTATTTATTTTGGGAGTACTGACCTCATGTCTTTTAAGCAGATGCTTCACTACTTGAGCCACACTCCCAGCCCATTTCGCTTTAGTTAGTTTTCACAGAGGGTCTTGAGTTTCTGGACTGTAGAATGGGTTGCATTTTGTCTCTGCGTCCCAGGTCCTGTGACCCACAACATCTGGCTTCAGAAATATTTATTTTTAATGTAGTCAGTATTTTTTAACTAAGTATGTACTTTACTGTGGAGAATAAGACAGGTTTTCTGCTTTTTATTCTTCCTTTGGAGAGTATAAGTTACAGTTAAAGATGTTTATGGAAGGTTAGTAAATTTGGCTATTAACCATGCTTTAAAGATAATGTTAGGCTGAGAATATAGCTCAGTAGTAGAGTGCTTACACAAAGCATGAGGCTTTGGGTATGATGCACACACATACACACACACAAAAGATTAATGTTTTTAATCTCCCGTTGAGGAGAGGTGACGAAATTTGCAATTAGAATTTTTTTTTTACAGGTTAAAAAAATAAACATGACCTTTCCAAGCAGCCTTATTTATTTGACCTTATACCTCAGGAGTTAGAGCGTTATTCCTGAAGTTAGGTTTGCTGTTACCGTAATATGGCTTACTCTGATCTCTTCTGTCTTGTTTTTGCAGTTGCTAACAGGCCATTACAGAGACACTCAGACTTCAATTACTGACAGTTCTGCTGTATACAGAGTCAACAATAACAGGGTAAGATGTTTGTGGACTGTTGGAATCTGACACTTACTGTGGTGTGCCAAGAAGGAATATTTCTAGATGAAGTAATCTGAGGATTTAGGTTCCACTTATAGCTTGTTTTAAATGGAGAATCTATGTAACAAACTCTGCTCTTGACAGCCATTCAGCAGGTTTAATCATGGCCACCTCTGCTTTACTATGGCCTAATGTCACATCACACTTTACTCTTTTTTTTTTGGTGGTACTAGAGTTTGAATTCAGGGCTTCGGGCTTGCAAGGCTGGTATTCTACTACTTGAGCCATTCGTCCAGCTCTGCCGCTCCTTTTTTTTTTGAGACAGGTTTTACTTCATAGCCCAGGCTTGTCTTGAACTCACTGCTAGCCTCAAACTCACAATCTTCTGCCTCTGTACCCCATGTGCTGGATTATAGGCATGTACCATCACACCCAGCTCACATTTTATTCTTATTTTTAGTCTGTCTTCGTTTCATCTGTGCTATGAGTTCTTGAGTGAGCCTTAAGCCTTTTTCTTTTATGTTTTGATAGGTAATACATGTACAGGGGACAAAAATTTGGTGAAAACTAATTTTTTTTTCCTGTGTCCGCTACCAGTCTTTTCTTTAAAAGCAATATTACTTTTTTGTGTATAACATGTTCTATGCATATACAAATGTATGTATTTATCCTTTTTCTTTTTTAACATTCTGTTTTGCCCATTTTTATTGATTTTCTTTTTTAATCATTTGACAACATGACTGATAGAGCTTGGCTTTTTCTTTTTTTTTTCCATGTTTAGGCACATAGTACTACCTGATTGATTTATAAACTGACTAGTATTCCATTGGGTGGCTGTACCATACAATTAAATTTTTATTTAATCAGAGCTCTATTAATCTTTAGTTTTGTTTGGTGTTATCTTTTGCTTTTATAAGATGTTGCAATAGATATCTTAAAGCGAAGTACATTTCAAAGACACCCATTAAGACGCATAAAGTATCTTGGTGGCTCCAGAATGTAGACAGTGACTGCCCTTGATGAACTTGGGGAGTGAGTGGAGTGAGGGCTAGGTAGATGATTGGAAGGGTGGAAGGATAGACGATGGATGAATTAGAATTATGATTTTAGAGCCCTTTTTCCTTGTTCTATGCCTTCCTTTCCCCTTTCTGGTGCTTCCAGAATTAAATGTTATAAGGACATCCATTTAACTGTTTTAGATAGAGATTTTTTGTTTTTTCCAATGATGGCACTATTTGTGGCCTAGACCTTTTAGTTTTTTTCCTGTGTGTGTGTGTGTGTACGTGTACGTACTGGGGTTTGAACTCAAGGCCTACACCTTGAGCCACTCCACCAGCCCTTTTTTGTGATGGGTTTTTTCGAGATAGGGTCTCTCCAACTATTTACGCGATCCTCCTAATCTCTGCTTCCTCAGTGGCTAGGATTACAAGCGTGAGCCACTGGCACCTGGCAACCTTTTGGTTTTTTTTTTTTATATTCATTATTCACATGTGCAGATATTGTTTGGGCTCTTGCTCCCCCATGCCCCTTCCCTCTCCCCCTCCACCCCGCTTACTGGTTTTTTTGAGACTGGGTGTTGCAGTGTAGCCCAAGCTGGCCTTGAACTTGTGATCATCTTGCCTCAGCCTACGGAGTACTGGGACTAAAGGCATGCGCCCACATGCCCTTTCTAGTCCAGAACTTTTTAAACTTCCAAGAATTCAGATTTTGGAATGTCATGTTTGGGAGATCATTAACTTTAGATTTTTCCATTAAAATTATTATTATTATTTGATGGTGCTGGGCATCTAATCAGAGTCTTGTGCATGCTAAACAAGTGCTCTGCCACTGAGCTACATCTCAGTCCCCATTTTTTAAGTGGGTACTCAGGGTGTGCTTAAGACGTGAATCTCCCAGTACAGTAGCCACTGGCCTTGTGTGATTGTTGAGTACCTGAAATACTACTAGTCCAAATTGAGGAGTGCTGTTAAGTGTAACTATGTAGCAGATCTTGACATGTATGAAAAATGAATATAAAATATCATTAATATTTTGGGTTTTTTTTGCATGTTAGAAGAATAATATTTTGGATATAATGGATAACCTAAAATTACATATTCAGTAACTTACTAAAATTAATTTTACTTATTTGCTATGGTTACTAGAAAACTTAAATGACATATGTGGCTTGTACTGTTTTTTATTGAACGTACAGAGCGTGCCTCTGTGCTCATGCCACTTCTTCTCCCACCCCTTATGTTGAGGTTCAGTCTCTCTAAGCAGTAATGCATCTAGTTATGTGTCTTCTAAATGGCTGACACTGGCTAAGTGCAGCTTTGTGAAATGGGTCCCTACAGGGGGTCTCTAGACTCTCTCTCTCTCTGTATATATAAAAGCTACTAGACATTTATATTTGTCTACAAAGAACTGCCTAGGCTATGTGAAAGGTCATAATGAATCCAACTGGACTGTGTCATCGCTGTACATGAAACTGACTTCCTTCTGCTGAACCGAGGTCATGGTTGGCTGTGGATAAGGTAAACATGAGAGATGATTGATGGGTCTGTTCCAGAGCCTCATCTGAGAGTCTTATCATTGAGCATGGCCACATCGACATTGACTGTTAGGTCAAGGATGAAGGCCTGGGGTGGTGAATAGAATGTACTGCGGTACATAATGGGCTTGCTCAATAAGGGATCAAGGATTAGCACAAAATATCCAAAGAGTTGAAACACATGAGTGGTGTGTCTAGTAGACAAATACTTAACACTTAAGAGTAGAAATGATGAAAAGTTGCTTTGTTAAGAAGATTTAGGATTGTAGTAATGGCAACATGCACTGTAAATTGTAAGGGTCTTTTTTTTGGTGGTTCTGGGGTTTGAACTCAGGGCCTGCACTTGGTAGGCAGGCAGTCTACAACTTGTGCCACTTCTTGTGCTCAGTTCTGTAAGTTATTTTACATTATTAGTTTGTGAATTTGTTACTGGTTTTCACACATTTTTGCTTTTATTATTATTACCTCTGAAGCCTCAGATAGAACACACTTCCCTGATTTCTCCAGATAATAAGGTTTTTCAAGTACCTGAAGAACATTTATCAAATTTGTGGCTTTATATATATGCATTGTATTCATCTCTCATTATAATCCATGTTAGATTAGAGACGCTGTCCTCACTGTTACATCCCCAGAGCTCCAATCATTGTTTTATTTATTTATTTTTTTCCTGTGGTGGGGATTGAACCCAGGGTCTTATGCCCTAGTGTTTGGTTAGAAATGCTCCACAAACATTTGTTTGAGTTTCTAATTACAGTGAACCTTTGTTTGATTCATTAATTAGGGATCAGTCTGATACCTATAATCTGATAGTAGAGGTTTATATTGTGAACATGGAATTGGGACTGAAATGTTAATTTAATATTATTCTGCCATCCTTAGGGCAATAGCCTGACCTTGATTGACCTACCTGGGCATGAGAGCTTGAGGCTTCAGTTTTTAGATCGGTTTAAGTCTTCAGCCAGGTAAGTGGGAGGGAAGTGAGACAGGCTTGTTGAAGTCTGTACTGGGTATCAAGTCCACTCATGTTTGCTCTGGTGGGATTTTGGAAGCATCCTCATGTCCTGGGGTGGAAAGAATGTGGACCTTGGATCAACCATTTCTGGGTAGCAAGCCCACCTTTGCTAGGAGTATGACAGTTTATGAGATCATGCTTAAGGAGTGTTTCTCAGATTGTTTGGGAAATGTTACTTCCCATTATCATTAATTTATTTCACATTTATGCTGAAGGTGAATTTAATGACATGCTAGGACTAGTAAAATCTGAAGTAAGAGTTTTAAAGCTAGGATGGATCCTGGAAATTATTAAACATAAACATTCTGTATAAATCTGTTCTTCTATTTTTTTTTTTGGGGGGGGGGTCAGTACTGGGGTTTGAACTCGGCCTCACACTTGCTAGGCAGGTGCTCTACCTCTTGAGCCACTCTACCAGCCCTTTTTTCCTTTTTTTTTTTGAGTCAGGGTCTTGTTATGTAGTCCAGGCTGACCTTGAACTTGCTATGTAGATGACCCTGCCTTCACCTCTTACTGGGATTATAGGCATATGCTACTGTGCCTAACCAGTTCTACTTTTAAATTACCTTAAATCGATGCCTCAAGAACAAATGATATTTTCCTATTTCTTTTAGTGTCAGCCCTGTGTCATTGCCTCTTAAATTCTTTCCTAAAATTGTTATGCTCCAGTTTCAAATGCTTTCTTTATGTTTGGCCTCTAACATTGATAAGAACTGAAGAGGGGAATTAGTATACCACATTTCAATGATTTGAAGACATATTTTAGTATCTTTAAATTGGTATGCATCTTACAGTTGATGATAAAATAGTTTAATTGGCAGTATTTTCTCTTTCTTAGTGGTGCCTGAAATAATATTTCTTATAATTGACAGCATCTTTGGTTCCTTTTGTCCAGTGTGTTTAGACTCAGATTTTGTCATTGTCTCCTTGCCCACAAGAAGATGGTGATGAGCAATTTGTCACAGATGCGAATGTGATTTTTACTCCTGAATTGAGACAACTAGAACTAGTAAAGTTGGCCCTAATTGACCATAATTCCTATTAATTTAATTTCTTTCTGTGCACAGGGGATATATACCTGTAATGTTAGCTACTTGAGAGGCTGAGGCAGGAGGATCCTGTGCTCACAGCTAGCCTAGCCTGTCTTAAAAATTTTTTTTGTTTTCCTTTTTCTGTTGTCAATTCTGAATTTTACCATTTGCAGTATAATACTCTATGGTCAAGTATTTTGGGCAAATAGAATATTGAAAATAGGATGATAAAACTCAGCTCAAAGAAATCCTAACTACAATAAATGCATATTGAAAAGACATTTGCTATATTGACACCTGACTTTTTCTTAATCCTGTCTTCTGGCTTAAGTTTCTTTGATCTCTGTTTTCCCCTTTTACCGGTGTGCAAGTAATGTTATTTCTGTTCTTTTCATGGATTGCCCTCCCTCTTTTAAACATTGTGCAACAATATAAAAAATCAGTACCAGTTTTCTTTTCCTGAACCTTAGAATATTTAACTTTCATCTTCTTCACATCTTGCCTTTGTTCTGTGCTTCTTTTCAACCCCAGTGGCTGCAAGTCTTTTCCACATTCAGTGGTTACTCATATTTTACCAAGATGTGGAGGATTTCTTTGTTCCTCTTCACTAAGTTCTTTCAGTCTACTCCTTCCTTTTAGGTTCTGTCTGCCTTTCAGTATGTCTTGTAGAAGTGTTTCCAGAGAGGGTGAATGGGTAGTAAAATTCCTCACCCCTTGCTCATTTGAAGCTGTCTTTACTTGGCCCTCATTTTAAAAGTTTACTAGTGTAAACTAATTGTACAAAGGGGATTCATTGTGTGATTTTGCATACATGCATATAATGTACTTTGATCAAATTCACCCCATCTATGTTACTCTTTCTTAAGAGTTGTATGATTGTATGTACACAGACCTGCTTTTGTGGTGTGTGTTACTCACTGGGACTGAGTTTGAAGGGACTAAGGATACAGTATTCTGGAATATTGATGCACTATTGCATGTTCGTGAGCCAGTTTTCCTCTTTTTTTCCCCATGTAGGGCTGTTGTGTTTGTCGTGGATAGCGCAGCATTCCAGCGAGAGGTGAAAGATGTGGCCGAGTTTCTGTACCAAGTCCTCATTGACAGCTTGGGTCTGAAGAACACACCATCGTTCTTAATAGCCTGCAATAAGCAAGGTGCCATCCTGTTTTCTGGCAGTAATCATTGATGTTTTTGTGCGATTGCTAGTGAGCGTTGGTTCAGTTATCTGAAGTTGTTATTGTTGAGGATTGGAGACAGTTGTAATGAACTATAAATTGAAGGCTTTTAAATCTTAAAGTCTGTTTCACTAGTTCTTACGAGGCTGTTCTAAGGGATGACAACAGAGGGACTATTACTGCTTTTTCTTTGATACAGTGGTTTTTTTTTTCTTTTTAAGATTATGAATTATTTGACTTTACCAAATTAAGTTTGTCAGATTGATAATATGTCATACTAGATAAACAATTTTGGAGGGACAGGGTGAAGTCTTTCAAATTTATCATTCAGCAAATTTTATTAAGGGGAGTTGGCAGAAATTGTTTCCCTTTAACTTGATTACTATTGAAAACTTTTTAGTCATACCCAGTTCAACTGGGCTTCAGTTCTGTCACCAGTAAAATAAGATAAACTCTCTCTCTCTCTTTTTTTTTTTTCCTTTTTCTTTTTGTGGGATTGGGTTTTGAACTCAGGAATTCACACTTGTAATGCAGGTGCTCTACCTCTTGAGCCATACCTGCAGTCCATTTTGCTTTGGTCATTTTGGCGATGGGGTCATGCAAAGTATTTGCTCGATCTGGCCCTGAACTGAGATCTTCCCTATGTCAGCCTCCCAAGTAGGTAGAATTATAGGCATGAGCCACTAGCACCTGATTCAGCTAGTTGGTCTTTTCAGATTCACATCTAAATTTCAGATTCTATAAAGAGCCCAAAGCACTTCTCAAAATGGTCAGATAATAACCCTACTAGTACCTAATCAGGGATGCATTTGTTAGCATCATGTGCTGATCTCTTTATTTCTCTAACTTCATATAAGGAGTGGAGTTTTGCCTGACCAGGCTTGGTTTTTACCTGTTGTGTAATTCATGTCTCTCAGTGTCAGCTGGAATGCCAGCTGTTTACTTTTAAATGAGTTAGGCTATTGTCTGACTGACTGAAAGTTCTCGTTAAAATTACAGTGCAGGTAAGTTTTCATTAAATGGACTGGAATTGGAAGGTCTGTAAGGTATGGAAAATTTAAGCTAATCCATCTTAGGGTCATCAGCATTAAAACATGTTTTCCAGCATTATTTGGAAAAACCTGTATGTGCAAATACTCTTAAGGAGTAGGCACTAGTGATAAAAGCTCTTAAGAAAGGAAAGGGAGTTGGCAGAGTGGCTCAAGTGGCAGAGTGCCTGCCTAGCTAGTGGGAGGCCCTGGGTTCAAACCCCAGTACCACTTTGAAAAAAAAAAAAAAAGAAAGGGAGAGAAACTTAACTGGTATTAATAGGGATTTTCTTTCTGTGATGAAGTAATGGCAAAAGATCCATTCTAGTTTAAACTCCAACAGTGTTTATTTCTTTACAGATATTGCAATGGCGAAATCAGCAAAGTTAATTCAGCAACAGCTTGAGAAAGAACTGTAAGTGTGAATGAGGCCTTTTGGTTAGCTTAGACTTTAAGCAGTTTGTTCACATTTTTTGTTGTGTGTGATTGTCACAATTAATAGTCTCAAGATTTATTAGTGTGACATATACTTGTTAAGTAGTTACAAAGAACTGATGAAGTGAGAGAGACATTAATGGGATTGTTTATAGATACTAAGGATTTCATGGAAGTAAGCTTTATTGGAAACTGTAGCTCAGTTTCTTTATCACTGTTGCTAACTCTTACAGTTGAAATGAAATATTTTAGAAAATAAAAGAATTTTACACACCAAGTTCAGAACAGTGACTGAAAGTATTTGTTCTCCACATGGTAAAGCATGTGAAAGAGGACTAAAATATGAAGTCGAAAGTAATTAAAATAAATAAGTAAAAGCTGAGAATTGGAAGGGAGAAAAGAAACAGAAAATTTTTAAACCATTGGAAATTGTTGACAGTAAGAAAAGAATATAGGAAGAATATAAAAATCTGTACTATTTTGTAGTTTCTTATATTGTTTTCAAGCTACTTAATGTTATTTATCCTGCTTTTAGAGTTTAAAAATTTGTTAGCTGAAATATAAGCTTTTAAATTTTAAGAACTCCAGCATGACTTTGTATTATGCCAAAAGCTTGCTTAGCAAAAGAAATGATCAATGTTATAGTAAAGCAAGTTATGTTTTCTAACGGCTTTTGAGCAAGAATTTTTTTTTTCCCCTAAAGAAAAGGATCTTATGAGGAAAAAAACCATATGAATTCAGCTTTGAGAACATTGTTCCCTACTGTGATTTACTGTGGTTTATTCGGTTAAAAGCACCTGACAGTGCATCTAGTTTACGCCAAGCCCTGCTCTCAGGATACTGCTGAAGCAAGAAAAAATGCGGAGGAGTCCTGTACACAGGCATAGAGACCAGTCAGAGCTAGTCGACTTAGGCAGTCTCAGATGCGTGCCCAGAGCCTGTAAGCCGAGTTGTTTGACATTTTTAAAGGGCAAGGAAAAGAAAAAGAAGAAGAAAAATATGCAGCAGGACCAAATGTGGCCCCCAAAATATTTAATTTCTGGTTCTTTACAGAACAGTTGCTGGCCCTGGCCTATGCTGTGCAGTGGTTCCTCTCCCTTCTGAAATGGCAGATGTGCCATGCTGTCTGCTGCTCTCTTTTGATGCCCTTCTTGAGACTCTGTATGCTGCTTACCAATATGCTAAGGACTTGGGGACACTTAGATGGTTAAGCTTTTCCTAAAAATGCTGTTGCTATAGCTTGAGGGTAACAAAAGCTATTTTATTATTACTACTGTTCTTCTTTAACAAGTCTTCCCATGAGTAAAACATGTTTTCCTTAGACTGTATGCTTTTAACAAGAGTCAGAGAAAAGCAGTGCAGAAGGAAATACCCTTTAAGGCAGTGAAATATAACGTTGAAAAGCTGTAAAGGCTGACCTCACTAAATTAGGAGTCTAATGTTTCTTGACTTGTTCTTTGATAGGGTCTTGCTTGGTAGTCCAGATTGGCCTCAAACTTTTCAACGCCCCTGCCTTAGTCTCCCACACCCAGTGTGCAATTTTAGTCCGATTTTGCATTTATGAGAATTAGGCTCTATCAGCTTTGTAGCATTTCATAGTTTTCTGAAGGTTCACTATATTTACATGACCTTGTAAGCAGTTTAATACATGTAGTGTTTTGCTTTTTTTCCCTAAAAATTTTTGTCGTGAAGTATAAGAGTATAAAAGTATTTATGACACATGCATTAAGTTTAAGCTCTGTACAGTGAGTAACTGCATACACACAACTGTGCTTAGAAGTCCCCCTCCCGTCCCTCAGTTCCTTCTCCAGAGCTTTTCCCTCAAGAAGAAATATCCTGGATTTTGTATCATTTGTTTTTAAAAATAGTTTTACTTAATTTTTAAGCAACCTTATAGAACCAAAAAGTGTTTCATTTGTTAAAAAGCAGATTGGCAGTTTGTATTCCTGTGCTCTGGGGAGTAGAAAGGGGGGTGGGGGGATGCCTGTAATGTTATGCACTCTTTACTAGGGCCAGCAGGTGGCAGTAAGGTGACTAAAACTGGGAAGGTTTTCCTGTTTAAAGAGATTGGACAATAGTAATTGTACCAAATTAGATATTAGAGTCTGGAGTGTGTGGATGTATAAGCTCCGTATCCAGATAGACTAGGTGAGAGTAAATTCCCTATCCATGCTTAACTACAGAAGTTTAGGTTTTTATAACATAGCATGTATTTTTAAATGCATTTAAAATGACCTCATTCAGGAGATCATAGTAGAGGGCAGCTCTGGGCTAAAAGAGTTGGTATGACCTGGTCCCCTACTGACCTGCTGCCATCTGGTGAGTTAGGCTGGACTCCCATCTCACCCTCTAAGATCATAATTTACAAATTAAGGGATTGACAGCATAGTTGATGTTTTTGTGATTTCACTCATGAGTGCTGAACTATTTGGGAACTCTTATGACTTAATTGTTGTAAAAATTTTGTTTCCTGACTCGGTTTTCTTTTGCCCTACAGCAACACTTTACGAGTCACCCGTTCTGCTGCCCCCAGCACACTAGACAGTTCCAGCACTGTCCCTGCTCACCTGGGGAAAAAAGGCAAAGAATTTGAATTCTCCCAGTTGCCCCTCAAAGTGGAGTTCCTCGAGTGTAGTGCCAAGGGTGGAAGAGGGGACGCTGGCTCTGCCGACATACAGGACTTGGAGAAATGGCTGGCTAAGATCGCCTGAAGGGCAGCTCCAAGCACAGCTGTGGATTTGTGTGACTGACAGTTTTGGAAAAAGGGCTGTGGTCACCTGGAGTTGATAAAGAAGAGGTAGAAATTGTGGCTTGAAGCATTTCCTTGCTCTGGAAACGTTGACACCAGCTTGCAGTTTGTTTTAGTTCACCCTTATTGCTCCCTTTCAAAGTCACTTTTATTTGACTCTTACCTTCCCTCTGTTAAGGTGTGTGTAAATTTGACTCTTACCTTCCCTGTTAAGGTGTGTGTAATGTCCCTATACTTAACTTAGGGTCAAGGTCTTTGTGATAACAAGCAGGCTCTTCCCAGAGAGGATGTTATCATGAGAATATGGCTATCATCTGAAGCGTTTCCTTATCCTCTGCTTCTGTGCTTTGGGTTCCTTTTTCCTGGAAAGAAAACTGCCTGTTAATGAAACCAGTTGATTTCCACTTGCCCCTGGAGTTCATGGGCAATACATTATCTAGTCCTTAGTGAGTGCTCAGATGTCTGGGTATAGCCATAGTAGTTTCACCTGTGTGAAGACAGATACAAAATGGCAAAGTCCCTTCCTCATAATCTCAGTGACTTGTCCACACTCCAGCCTCAGCTGTTTCAAAAGCATGTTAGGAACCCTTGGAGTCATCTCCAGATGACAGAACTGGAAATGCCAAATCTGCAAATGCCAGGGGCCTGGTGTGTTCTACTGGTTACCCTGGGGAGAATGAGGATTTAGACACTTTTCTGCTACTGGGGGCGTGGCTGTAGGTGCCTGCTATCTTCATGTGCTGCTTGATCAGCTCCTATTTTGTACCCTTAGCTAGAATGTTGTAAACAAACGCAAGAGAAAAGTTTTCTGTAGATTTGTGAAGTGCATACTTATTCATGCTTTGAAAAAAAAGATTGCCTTTTCAATGTGATGTCTTTGTTGTCTTCATAAACATGACTTGTTACTGCTTTTATGAACAATTAATACTTTTTCTGACAAACAGCCTCTCTGACTCAAAGCATTAACTAAAATGATAAAGGGAGTACAAATGTGTTGAGATGCAGGTCTAACTCCAACTTACCTGAGCCTAAAGATTGCAGTGTGCACAGGAACAGACTTCTGTCACTGCCTCATGGTGGGGCAGGCCTCACAAAGCTTACCAGAAAACAAGGATGGCTGCAGAAAAGTGAGAAGCCAACTGCAGAACAGAGCCATGTAAGAGCCATTCTGTGAGGTGCAGGGAAGCAGACAATACGGCCACTAACCTGGCCTTAAAAGATCAGAGAGTCAAAGAGTAAAAACACAGGATTGGTAACATCTGAGTTTGTGTGGTCCCTATACACCCAGTTGAAGCTACTGTCTACTGTCACATGCCCCTTGTGGGTCACCTGGACCGAGTACACATCACCTCAGACCATCACCATCCATGGCACAAATACATCCCTGAAGCACTTATCAGCTTTGTTGCTGGTACCCAACATGAAGTGGAGGTCACCAGATCTTGATCCTGTCAGATCTGCTGGTGTTCTTGCCATCTTTTGGACTTGGGCTTCGTAGTCAAGTAGCAACTTAAGGAAGTAGGTAAGGTGACAAATGCATCATCTTCATTTTAAAGTGGGTGCTCGTGTGAGTAAAGGTGCTGTGGTGCCTCTGTGTTTTTTGGGTAGTAAGGTGCTTCCTAGAGGAAGCAGTGCACCTGAGGAACAGTAGCAGGTTGAGTTCTATACATGACCTGAAGATGGTCTTAAGATAAAGGAGAGTTACGGAGCCGTGGTTCACACATGTTAGGTGTCAGAATTCCGTGCCTTATTTGTTAGGCTGTTTAGTGGACCCTAGCAGACACTGAGACTGAGTAGCAGGCATGGTCTCAGGACTGCATGATTAACACGCATGTTTAACATGGCTCTCCCCAGTCACATGGGGCCCTGGATTGTAAGAGGCACTTGGCCATGTTCTGTTGAGATGATTTCAGTCAGAACTTATTTTTGTAAGAGTTTTGAATTCACAAATTGTCAGGCTTCAGTTGATACACGCTCATTCTCACCTAAAGGCTGGTATCAGCTTAAGATACTATGCCCAGCCAGGCACGGTGATGCATGCCTGTAATTCCAGTTTTGAGGGGGCAGAGGTGGAGGATTGTAGTCCGAGGCTGGCCCTGGGCAAAACTTGAGATCCTATCCAAGAACCTAAGACAAAAAAAGGGCTTAGCTCAAGTGGTAGAGTGTCTGCCTAGCAAGTGCAAGGGTCCTCTATCCCCTTTTTGTTTTGGCCCCAGTACCACCAAAAAGATTTTTAAAAAATGCTTACCTCCTGCTCTGCCTCAGCCCTTCAGACATTCTTTGTACAGGAAAGCAATGTTACTTCTCCCAACTGTAAAGCCCTAAACTCTGAACCACTCATTCACAGGAGCCTTGTACACCTCAGCTTGTTGAGTGAGCATCAGGCACTGTCCCGTGGGGGACACAAAGCAAATCTGCTTACGGGCAAGGCCCTGCTCTGCTGTTGAGAAACGTGCCTTTTCAGGTGGCCTCCTGCTCCCACTCTAGGGTGAGCTCCATCCCAGCTGCACTGGACTCCTGAGCACTGTGGGTATCATGGGATCTCCTCCATGCTGCCTTCAGCATTGCCCTCACCTGCTGAACCAGCCACGCTGCTTCGACCAGACTGCTGTTTCTCACGCTGCCGTTTCTTGGCTGGTGGCCTCTGATCAGCGCCTCCTGGGTGCCAGTGCCCCTGGTTCTGCTGCATGTGGGTGCGTGGCCATGACTTGAATTTTTTTCTTTTTTTGAGTTTAGCGTACAGTGACCTCCATTCTCGTACAGTGAGGAGGATAACTGCCATGAGAGTCCTTGGATGACACAGTGTGCCTTAGGCAGAACATTTAGCACAACTGTGTCATCTTCATGTTCGTATCTGGGGACTCCCAATAGACTGGCCAGGGCAAGGACTACTGGGCAGCTGTGTGAACACAGTACCCCGTGAGAGCATCTACTGCCTCTGCAGTGTGAAGTCAGGTGGCCTGAATACCATCATCTTGGGGAAGGACTGCTTGTCTTGGAACAGCTTTGCCTAGTCTTAATCTGGCCTGGGTAGGCATCTGCTCTCTGGCTCTTGGCCTTCTACCTATCCCCCGTACCTGTTCTACCTTGTACTTAATAGCGAAGTCACAGACAGTGGGCAGGGACATCATTTCTTCTCTAATCAGTAGTGGCTGCCTTGGGATGGCAGACTGGAGGTGTTCCCGCACCTTCAGAACCGCTAATGGGAGGTGGTGAAGCTGGACTTGGAGCATGAGATTGCCAGGATTCTCAGGCCAGGGGCAGTTCCCCTAACCTTAGCTTTCATGTCTTCTTTGGAATTGGTCCCAGAACTTGACTGGCTTCCAGGGCATCTTTTAGTCTGGAGATAGCTGAGACCTAAGGTGCCTCTTAGGAATGTTCCCTAACTAGTGTGGGCTGAGGTTGGAGGTGTTTGTGGCTGGTTAGAGTCGTATGAAGGATGATCTTGACTCCCCTTAAATTCTTGTTTTTAAATTGCTTTCTGGAAACCACCAGAAGACACAGTGCTGCACCACGCCCGTACTTCCCTACCTGCAGCCGTGGCGAGTAGACAGTGGGAATGATGGCAAACACCATTCCGGACCCGAGTCCCAGCTCTGCCTGGAATCTGCTTCCAGAGACTCCCGCCTTCAGGCAGACTAGACTGGGGGAGTGAGTGTAGGTGTAACCTCACCAGTGTGTCTCAACTCTCCCCCTTCAGAGTTGGTGAAGAGCCTTGGTGAGTGGGAAAAAGGGGCAGAGGGCTCTGAGTAGGAGACACACCTCCCAGACACAAGAGAGAGCCTTTGGACCATGCTCTTCTGGAAATCTATACAATTGTACCACTTCAAAACAGTAAACAAGACGCTTTGTGTTGAGAATTAGGACAGTTTATTGTTTGACCAACATGCTGAGTCTTTTCCACATTTTACACAGTTTAATGTAAAGTCAATATGGCCACTATGCCTTCTGAGCCCATAAAAGGTGAAAATGCTACCCTCTGTGTTCCTCACGGCCAGTCCCTTTATAAAGGACGGTGGAGGGAGAAGTCAACACACCGGAATATGCAAGCTGGCCTCCACTGTCATGGTGGCTTCTCACCTCTTGCGGAACGCCTGAGCCCCTGTTGCAAGGTCTTCCTGATTAACACTCCCTGCTGGGAGTGTCAGCCAGACAGGAGTCTGGGGTCCACAGTTTGCTCATTGAAATCCCAAGATTTTAGATACCGAAATAGTTGATTTCAAGCAACAATTCAAAGGGTGCCCTGGTCTGTGTGGGTGCCCAAGGCAATCCAAGTAGACTCGGGGACCAGCCCTTCGCAGTGGAGGAGCCCAGAGGGCACTTGCATTCTCCCAGCTCACTCAGATGTGCTGGGAAGACTGTTACGTTCTCACCAGAGCCAAGATGGCCTGAGGGACACAGGCACACACAGCAGTTCTTTCTGATCACTATGCAGTCCCATTTGTACACACAGGTCAGCAATGGATGAAGACTGGCAACTCCTGACTTGCTGGGTGATCAATCAGAAGCACCCTCTCTGTCTTGGTTCTCCTACCTGTGAAACAGGAAGAGTTTCACACTGCTGTGGCAAGGTGACAATGCCTCACATTCTTTGGGGGAGAGGTAGTTCGGAAACTAGTGAACATACAAACCTAAGAGCTTGCAGCACTCAGACTTACTTCCCATCACCTGGCTCTTACTCGCCTCATGGTCCTTGGTACCTGGTGTCCCGTCCTGACGGACATCCTACCTGCCTTCCAGCTTGGGAAGGAATGAGGCTGCTGTCTGCAGGACACCGAAGCCAGCAGTGCCACCCTTTTATCACACCAGGTATTTGAGGATGGGGTTCTGGCACTGGTTTAGTCACTGGATGATACAGACATTGCACCCAGGTGTGTCTACACCTTTAGCTGCCACCTTTCAACCCTCATTTCTGTTGCCTGAGACATCTAACTCGTCTGGCCATGGATCCCGGGGAACATTCCAGAATGTCAAAGGACGGTGACAGAAAGAGAGGCAGCAAGGCCTCTAACTGCCAAGCTGACCAACCTCGGACCACACCAACTGCAGTTCCAGCATCAATGCAATGACGTCATGTCTTCTCTGACACACGTCTGCCTGTGTAAATGTGTTACCAGCTTACTCCATCCTGCACTCAATTTTTCTTTTCCTGCAGAACAGGAGTTTTGCTGACAGCTTTTCTTTGAGCTCCCTAAAGCAAAAGAGAGCCCTGCTCATGTGCCAGGTCAGGTCTAGTCTTTGGGGAGAGGCACCGACTTACTTACTTGAGATCATACGCTAAAAGGAGTCCTCCACTCTGATCTCGGCTAACCCATCTGGATGCCACAAAGACGTACTCTTGCTGTGGATACTGAGGCAATTTCACATCGTTATGAGAATCTCACCACTTATTATTAAACCTTAATGCTGAGTCAAGGTCCTGCCTACAAGCAAGAGGACAGTGATGCCTGCTCAAGATGAGAGTCAAAAAACTAACACAGTTCTGTGAAAAAGACCTGGCTGCCTTAACAGAGTCCAGGAAGGAAGGGGGACAACTGACTGAGGAAAGGAAGGCCAGGGAATGGCAGGGCACCACTAGGGGCAAAAGGACAAGAGGGGACTGTATCCTCATCCTCAGAGGCAACAGGGCTGGGGAGAGCCAGGACTCAAGAGAGGATGTTGTGAACAGGCTAAGAAAAGCTGGACTGGCTAAGGCCACGTCAATCCAAACAACACCTGCCACGTCTTACTGCTCATTCAGAACAACAGACCTTGGTTCCTTGGATTGTGTGCACGTGACAAGGGAACCGTTTCTACTTTGTTTTCAGGATGTTTTAAGAAAAGCTATACTTCAGTGCCAAGAAAATGAAAACCCACCATACATTCATTTACCAAGACCCATTGCAGATCCCAGTCAATGGGGCTGTCTCAGAGGCCACAAGTGAGGCCCCTCCCTGCCATCTGGGCCCAAAGCTGTATCATGGACTCCTGTAAATGCTCACGAGGTACGTTAAGCACTCTTCAACAAGCACCACTTGGGGATGTGCCTGCCACGGGGGGTCAGGGGGACGCTGACCCACACAGGCACGCACACCCATGCATATAGGTACATAGAGAAGTGGTAAAGATATTCCCGTGGGCTAGTTTTGCCTATAGTTTAACACATCTATGCGTTATTTTATTGGTGCCAAGACAATCACAAGTTATTTGACAATATTATTTCTTAGTTCAACACATTGCAGTACTTTTGAATTTCCAAAACTGTTATCACAATGCAAGTTCCAACTGGAGAGCAGGAAAGACAAGAATATACATTGAGCACATGTATCTCCGTGTGAGGATGTGTGTGTGTCCGTGGAAGGTGTATACACAAGTCTATCTCTATATATAATTATGTACACACATATAAAAACTAAACACATGACATTTGAATTACGCTCGTACATTGGTCCTTGCTTTCTGGAAGAGGTGCCCACTGAGAGCCTGGTTCCTTTCCTTTTGAGCTGAAGGTAAATTCCTCTCTAAAGATCAGCTCTGACACACAGTCTCTTAGGCTGGAAGTAATGGGGCAGACCTATTGCACAGATATTAGCCCTGCCACTTCCTGGCTGTCGTTTTGGATTAGTTTCTGAGAAGTTCCAAAATTCATTCCAACAACCTTCTGAGAGAGTCCTGACTTACAGAGGAATTCACCCTGCCCATGAGAGCCCGAAAGAAGAGCCAATGCCAGCTGGGGTGGGGTGTATTTTGGTCAGAGCCCCCGCCCATTGCTCGACTTTGTGGTGGCCTGGGCAGTAAGTCTGGGTCAATTTGGAAGGCTGAGAGGATGTTTTCTTCAGGAGATTTTTTTTACAGGTGCTCAGGACTTAACCATTGTCAGGAATGAGTCAAAAATGGCAAGGATGGCTGGCTGGTTGGCAGATCCCAGTGCCCTGGGCAGCCCCTTGGAGGCCTCACTTTAACCTTATCCTTAGGTGCCCAGAGAACATCCACAGTATTCACAAAGGTACTACGAGCACAAAGACTTCAACTAGCCATGCCAGTGGGTGAAAACACATCAGGAAGTCAGTTTTTCCAGAACAGTACTCTGCAGTATTAGCAACTGTGGGCCTGCGAGCATGGATCATTCGAGGGGAGGGGGTGTTTCTACAGACACCCCTCCCTTCCTCAGTCACAGGTGGACCAGTAGCATGTGGCACAGGCTCCAGTGTCCCTGACGTGCCAGGAGGAGGGCTTCCGGACACGCCACTCAGTGTCACACAGTTTCTCAGCATCAAGCCAGCTACATGTGCTGACTATTGAGACGTAACTACACGGGTGCCCAAGGCTGTAAGCCACACGTCGCCACCGCCCACAGTTGCCAACAGCACCCCGTCCTTCCTGTGACCTCTTGCTCTGCTGGTCACTGGAAAGGGACAGAGACCACATAGTTTCCTGTGCCCCTGACCACCTTCAAAGCTTCTTAGGGAAGGAAAAGGAGAAGAGCCCCATTCATTTTAACTCAGGGCCCCGCGGATGTCCTAGTCTGCCCAGAGAAGGACCGAGCAGGCTGTTTGGTTTAACTAAAGTTTGATTTGACCAAGCGGGGCCTGGATGGAGGGGCCTGGTTGGTCTGGGCCAGATGGCCTAATTACATTTCTCAGTTAATTGTTTTAATTTTCTGGGCTGGGGAGGGGAGGAAGGCAGAGGTGAACAGTTCAAAGAGAACAGGAAGGAGGAGGTGTGTGGAAAAGGTTCTCTATAAGTTTACAAATATACAAAAACAAAAAAGCACATCTTTCAAATAAAAATGACTACATTTTTTTTTTATCTGGCAAAAAGTTGTATACACATGATTTAAATTTTTTTAAATTTTAACAGTTTTTGGCAATCTTAATAAAGTACAATATATTACAACCAAACCAAAAAATAGTTGTTTAAGTAACAGCTGTTAAGAGTGATGTGATCCCTGATGCCCAGCCTCCCTCCCCAACCCACCCTATTCCTAGAGAGAGAAAGGAAAATCCTCCCATCATGATCAACTCATTCCCCACCCCGTTAGGAAGCTAGCCAATAGGGAACAACACAACAAGCAAGTGGTGTCGGAGGAAGGTGCCAGCCGGCTCTGCATTAGCAAGAGCAGCCGCCCTCGCTGGCCGGGGGCTCCTGGGGTTTGTCCAGCTTGATGTCAATCACTGCAGGAGGCAGGGCTAAGGAACATGACTGCCAGAGGCTGCCACCCCTCTCCTCCCCACCCAAGCAAACACCTAGGGTCCTGGCTCTTGTTTGGTTGCAACTCTCTTTTCTCTTTTCCCCCTGCCTCTCCACACCTCCAAAGTCTGTCCACCCAGAGCAGGGCTTGTCTGGGCTCTGGCATTGCTGCTGACACACAGGCCAGGGAGTCCCTGTTTCAGAGCCTTCCCTGGTGATTGGTGCTCAAATGTCAGCACCCAGCCTTAGTCTCAGCCCCGTTGCCTTCCAGCCATACTCCAAAGTTCAGAGTTCCTCGCCAGGCATTATTTATCTGTACTGCACCTTCGGTGATCTTCTTAAATATGTCTTTCATTTAGTTTCTTTCTAGCTTTGTTAATCAGTGTCAAATCCACCCTTTATGTAAATTGTGATCACTTCTTTTTTTTCTTTTTGGTGGTACTGGGTTTGAACTCAGGGCCTTGCACAGTTTGGGCAGATGCTCCATCTCTTGAGTACCATGCCCTCAACCCTTTCTGGTTTATTTATTTTTCAAATAGGGTCTTAAGCTTTTGCCTGGGCTAGCCTGGATCATGCACAAACCACTTACCTCCACCTCCTGAGTAGCTGGGATTATAGCTGTGCTCCACCATGCTCAGGCCAGGTATGGCATACATTTTGGGTATGACTTTTCCTACCTTTATTTTCTGAATGTGTGTTTGTACATATAAACACAATTTTGATCGTGTTTGTACATATGCATGTGTATCTATACAAGCACACTTGTCATGCCATGGCAGAATATAATTAAATAAATAGGCAGTAAGCAACTGCCTTCCGTCTCACCTGCCATGGCAGCTGCAGCTAGCTAAGTCCTCTCCACTCCAGTCAAGCAGCCCTGCTCCTTCACTCCCTGCTGTTTTTTCCAACCCACTGTCATGATTCTCTGCCAGCTATGATGGTGTGGCTCCTGCTGGGCCACATAGGCTCCAGCACCTGTCTGGACTGCTGGTCTGCATGCTATCCTCGCTGGGGTCTCCTGGTCCCCCTAAGGTGCGCCCTCTGAGCCCAGCCAGCCCTTTTTAGCATGGAGACTCCAGCTCCGGTGACAGTCATGCCATGAGTTATGTTATTTACTTATTTTCTTATTTATCAGTGCTGGGGATGGAGCCCAGGGACTCAGACAAACTAAGTATGTGCTCAAACAGTAAGCTACACCGTTAGCCCGGGGTCATGCCTTCAGATGACCTGGCTTGCGAAATCCCCCTGGCACTGGCCTCTCCACCTCAACTCTAGGACATTTTGTGCCAGCTGATTCTTCGTTGTGAGGCTGTCCTATGCATGCAGGATGCTTAGCGGTGTCCCTGACTTCCACTACTAGACACCAGGAACATGTGTCCCTTCTTCCTCTAACATACGGCAACCCAAACTGTCTAGAGACATTGCCGAATGCCTGTTGGGGAGGAGGGGGCAAAAGTCAGCCTCAGGTGAGAACCACTGGAAGGGAATTAACATTCTGCCCAGTTGGAAGTTACCTGACTGCATTTCAAAATAAATCTTTTCACGTGCAATTTGAGTCAGAATACTTTCGTAACACTGTACAGCATTTTTGGACTACGTCAAAAATCTCCTGGGAGACCTGTTAAAAATACAACTCTCTGGGCCCTACCTCAGTAGGCCCAGGATGTGTGTTTTTAACAAGTTCTCTGGAGAATCCCAATGCACAGACACCGGGGAAGCCAACTGTACAGATACTTCCAGAATACACTGCCCCAAAGAATTGTTTTGCCGTGATGATATATTCCAAATGGCAGCCATCACCAACACGGGCGCCTGAGTGGTTGGCTGAGGCTATCAGGATTGGGGAACTGAAGTTCTCATTGAATCTAGTTTTAACTAATTTTAAGGTAGCTAGCCACATGGCCCACAGCATTGGAAAGTACACGTTTAGACCATCTGCTGCAAGCTTTCATATGTACTATCATTTTTTGTCACCTCTTCCCTTGCAGTGCCACACACCATTGAAATACAGCGCTCAGGGTTACCTACTAACTGGAAAGGATGGGGAAGAATGGGTGTGCCAAGGTCTAAATAATCCCCAGAAGAGGAAACTCTCTGTGGAAGTTTCCCATAGGCCTCGATAGCTTACTATGTGCCTCTCCTATGGGTAGCAGAGTATACTTGCCTCCACCCTCTGGCTCCAGAATGGCTCACAGACCACATTCAGGGCCTCCTCGAATAGTGATGGATGGACCCAGACAGCCTGTTACGATCTTGCCCCAAACTGCTGGGACAAACTGCTTTCCCCATTCCAGTGCCTCTGACTACTGTCGGCACAGTCAGTTCTGTGTCTGGGGCATCATCAAGGCAATCCATTGCTCTCTTGGAGAGTACAATGGCTGCAGGATACAAACACTTGGATTTGATCCCAGCTCTGCCAGCTAACCAGCTGGGAGGCATTGGGCATGCTGTACTCTGTCTGGGCCATCACTGTCCTGTCTCCTCAGGACCAGTTTAGGAAGTGTCCAAGTCACACCCATTACTGTGCCTATGACAGCCTGGCTCAGAAAGGGACCAGGGGCCATGCCACGGAGGCCTACTATTTGGGCAGAAATCAGGAGACGGGAGGGCTTGTGGCTCTGTTGTTTTGCCGTTCCTCAGCGTCCACACTGGGAAAGCAGGGCCTGGGGGCTGTTAGGGAGCCCTGGGTTGGGGGCAGACTTCCTGTCCTGCATGAAGATGAAGTGTGGCAGTCAGTCTTTCACCTACACCCGAGAGCAGCAGTCAGAAATCCAAGCCCACACGCTCACCAGGCCCTAAGCCAAGCAAGGCCAAGTATGAACGTCGCAGACATCACTGCAAAGTAGTGCTTTTGTGTGATTGCTCGTGATGTTCAACACAGTTCCAAATATGACCCCAGAGCGCACAGCTTCAAACACCAGGGTTTGAAGTGTCAGTAAACAGAAGTGCCGGCCCACCACCCAGTTGCTGAAACCAAGCTGTCTCCACGTGGTGATCCCTTCCAGGACCTTGGGGTTCTGTTCCAGCCCTGCCTCATCAGAGGCCTTAGCCAGTGTGAGAGAGTGGGGCTGCACCTGCCATACAGGGGAACCCAAAAGCTGGGAAAAGGAACACATCACTTAGAACTCTTCCTCTCCAGGAGCCCAGAGGTCACCCATACTAAACGATGGCAAGCTACTGGTCACCCTGGCTGGGAGCCCATCTGACCTGACAGTGGCATGGAGCCCCCATGTGGGAGAACACAAATTGAACGATCACCACTCACCCTGGCCAGTCTGGTTTGCTTTTGGAGAGGACAGGATGGACAGCAGGCTGTCTGCAGCCTGTCGCTCACTGCCACGTGCAGCAGGGACCACCTGCATCTTGCCTCCTCTGATTTGGTCCTGCTCTTCTCTTGGCTCTTCGGGTGACCTTCGGTGTGTTCCTGGTACCTCAAAGGAGCACCACGTGGCTGGTGACACCGAGGACCTTTCTCCTGAGGCATGAGCCCATTTCTGTGACTGACAACTAGGAGACACTCCTCAGACCTACTCCCCTGGCCCTCGTTCATTCTATGGGAACACACAAACCACTGTTTGTCCTCTGGGGTCTGCTGAGCCACCTGCTCCTTGGGACTCCAGTCTGCTCTGAGAGCAACTTGAGGTAGACTGGAGAAGCCAGACTGTGCCTCCCGGAGTCTGGGCCCTGACGCCAGGCTGCATGGGCAGAGGGGAAAGATGAACGTAGCCATGACACCATCTCCTCTTTGGTTTCCAATACTGATCGATTTGTTTCCTATGTTTTGAGCCGCCTCAGCCTGCAGGTATTCTTTTGCCTCCCCAGGGTCATTCTCTGATCTGTTGTGGTGTCCACCCTTGGGGAACTACAGGGGTGAGTGGAGGATGGTGAGAAGCTGCCTGTAGGTATACATCCCATTCTGCAGGACACAGGCTGGGTATGCCAGCTAGTCTTTAGCGCCTCACTCGGGTAGGGCCATCTGGCTAGGTACGAGGAAAGCCTTCACCCACCAAAGCACTTTTCATCTCATCTTCCCACATGCCTCTTGAGGGACAGTGCCCTAGGATGGCCTAGGGCTGGATATGGAGGAGGAAAGCCTGAGTATGAATCCTAACTCTATAATTTACATGCTGTGTGATGCTGGTTAAAGTGGACTGATCTCTCTGAACCTCAATGTCAGTGTCTAGCTGTCAGCTCAGGTTTTGGGTTGGACTATGCCGGTGGTGCGTGGGCCTGTTCCACAGAGTAGTGGGAAGATGGGGGCTGTGCAGGGCTGGACACAGGAAGCAGTAGGACATGGGAGGGGACATCCGTTGGGAGAGTGGTCTCGTGTAGACGGAGGCACATTGATACCTCATTGTCAGTGTATGGAAGCTTCCCTGTGGTGGGGACTCAACCTGTACACACAGGTTGAGAAGAAGGCAGAGATAGCATTTTTCCCAGCCTGCCTGCACTGTTACTGCCTACATGTCCCTGGTCTCCCCTCACTGCTGTGGAAGAAGAGGATGCAGTGGCTTGAGGTGGCAGGGGCTCAAAGACCATGGAGCTCAGCCTGTCCGTGTACCAGGCCAGGCGGAGGCCAGGCGAGTGTTCACGTGCTGTACTGAAACACTGCATGAACCAGTGGCTTCCCAGATGCATGCTTTGACTCGCTCACCAAGGAAAAGGATACTCCCTTCTTTGCTTTTCTCCTGGACATTTTCCATGCCGGGCAGGGCTGATGCCACACGTCGGAAGAGCTGCAGAGACGGGAGATGCAGGATGAGTCTGCTCCTGTGCCTTGTGCCCACTCCCTGCCACATATCTAAGCTCTCCCTGACCCTCTGCAGTTACTGTCATGTCCGCTGTTGACTGAACCCCAAGTTCTTTGCTGTCTCCAGAGCTTCTCACAGAGTTGGCCCTGGCAGAGCTCTGATGTGCTTGCAGAAGGAGGGGGGGAAGCCATGGTTTCTCGGCTGAGCAGGTTGCCCACAGGACTGGGAGGGTAAGTGTGGGTCGTGCAGTGGCTACAAGGGACCTATGTGGTGCAGAAATGGTCGAGGCTCCCAGAAGCAGCTGGCAGGTGGGCTCTTTCCACTGCCCTCAGGGGGACTGGATGGAGGAAAACAACCTTAGTCCTGCTCTTGAGACAAATGCCTCTTTCCTCAGGGAATGCTGGGGCACACAGGCATTGAGGCAGATGGACACCAGGTGCCAGTTTTGTGTGTGTGAGAGTCTACATGAGTGAGTGTGTGGTGGGTAGGGGTGAGTAGCAGGGGTGTGCATGGTAGATGAGGCACTGGCAGAGACAAAACCTTGGATGTAACATGTACAAGGCAGAAGTACAGGACAGAAAAAGATTCTGAACTGCTATGGTCTGAATGTTTGCGTCGCCCCTACATTCTTTTTCTTTTTTTTGCGGCACTGGGGTTTGAACTCAGGGCCTTGTGCTTGCCAGGCAGTCTCTCTACCACTTGAGACATCCCCTCACCCTAATTTCTTAAATTAAAACTTAATTTCCCAGTGAGATAGTGTTAAGAAGTGATTAGTTATGAAGGCAGAGCCTTACAAAAGATGAGACGAATGCCCTTACAAAAGCGGCCTAAGCTGGGTGTAGTGTTTCATGTGTGTAATCCCAGCTACTTGAGAGGCAGAGATTGGGAGGATAGTGATTTGAGACCAGCCAGGCAAACAAGTTAGCAAGACCCCATCTCAACCAATAAGCCGGGAAGGCTATGTGGGAGGTGTAGGTAGGCAGATCATGGTCTGAGATTGGCCCCTGGAAAAAAAAGCAGGACCCTATCCAAAAACAATAAACAAAAAGAAAAAAGGTCTGCCTAGCAAGAGTGAGGACTGGAGTTCCATCCCCAGGGGGAGTTGGGGGAAGAGGCCTAAGAGAGCTTGTTTGTCCTTTCCGTGTAAATAAATAATTTGCAGGTGCCACACATGAGGTGATGGGCTCTCACCAGACACTAAATCTGCCAGCACCTTGATCTTGGACTTTCCAGCCTCCAGAATGGACAGAAAGAAATTTCTTCTGTTTACAAACTGCCTCGTCTATGGTAACTGGATATAACAGCTCTACAGAATAATAGTACCCGACTCGACAGATGCCAATCACAGGACTGCGCCAGGCTCAGGGCTTACAACCTCCACACTGGAGCTCTCTGAGGACAAGGTGGGTCTCATTCAAGGTCATGGTCCTGAGCCTAGCGCTCCCGGAAGGCTGGTGCCTGGGCTCCCTCTGGGAGCACCCAGCCTCAGGACAAGGCTAAAGGCAGTGAAAGCCAAGTGAGAAAGTGGCTTTGTGGGCCCGGCAGGTGTGGGACTCCTGAAGGCAGGCTGCGGAGAGGGCTCTGTCGCAGGCCAGGGTGTGCAGGCCCTGGGACATCCCTTGTGAGCTTTCTTTCACGGCCTTGCCCCAAGTAGCCCCAGTCTGCCTGTTTATCAAAAACGGTCCCAGCCTCTGCTAACGGACACAGTGCCATGACAGGTTGCTCTTAGGTCGGGAGTAGGGCTCTGAGCACGTGATCACCTTAAGCATGCCGGAGTCTGCCTTGTACAGAGACTCCTCGGAACCTCTAGGGTTCAAACTGACCACACTGAACACCTGCTTGAACCCCTGCCGGGTTCCAGGGCATTCCACTGGGGGGCAGGGGCATCAGCTTCACCCTGACCCAGACAACTTTGCTTCTCTGCTTCCCGTAACGTCACCAGGCCCTAAGAACAGCAGCCCAGTCTCCTCTGTGCACTTCCAGGGCAGAGACACCCCAACAATCCAGACTTGTACCTGATGCCACAGAGGTGGAAAGGGGTGGGGTAAACAGCTATTCTGAGGGCACTCTAATTGGGATGGGATGGGGCCTGAGTTTCTGGAGCTCTGGGGTCTTCCTAATGTCACCATAGTGCCCCGCCCTTCCTGTTCCTCTGTCACCCTTCTCTGCTGCTGCCAGCACACTCTGCACAGAGGGAACCATTGCTGTACCCGGGCAGCTTACTTAGTGTCCTAGGAAGTGCTGGGGTTGAAGGGCAGAAGAAATACCACATCAACTATACTTCTCCCCCAGTGTCACCCTGCTGCCAGGTCTCTGCTCTGACTGTCACCCCTGCCTGGAAGGCCTCCCTCCTCGCCACCTCCCAAGTCCTCCTCACCCTTGCCTGAGCCGAGGACCCCCGTTGAGGTCTGGTGAAATCTACTGACCCTTTTAATATGTAAAATCATTTATATAGGTTTAGAAAGGAAACCATCTGGTACTGAATTAAACCTTGAAAATATTTAAAGATACAGACTTGGGACACTGTGACATTTGTGCTTCCTTGTGAACATATTAAACAGCAAGAACTAGCAGTAGATGAAATGCCTACTGCGGTGCGTGTTCAGGATACCCTCAAGGCTACGAGGCAATAAGGAGAGCCCTGTGGTTTCCGCGGTGAGAAAGTCAGAGGTGCATGAATATTGTTGCCCTAGGTTGCCTACAGGCACCGCGGAAGGGCATGGTTACCAGTGAGTCGGAGGTCAGTGACAGCAGAGGTGGGCTTTCCTTCAGCCCTTCTGTTCACCTGCTGAATTCCATCCACGGTCTACCTGGGGTCTGTGGATCAAGGGTAGGCCTGGCTGCTCCAAGGCCTGGCTCTCACTCCACCTCCTCTCCCTCCTGTGAGCTCTGCCCCCACCATGGTGGCCTCTCACTCCTGAGTTGCCTTCCATGGTCCTAAGCACTTGCCACGGGCAAATCCAAGATGCTGATTGGATCTTCCTCCAAAGTGAGGTAAGATGGTAGGAACCATGGCTTCCCTGAGCCACCTGGGAGTCAGGGCTGGACACTTGGAAAGCCTCTTTCAGGGGTCTTTGGTCCCTGCTGTGGTGGCAGGTGACTGACAGTGTTCTTATGACCCCCAAGGTGAGTGTTCCTTTCCTCTCACATGCTTGCCAGCTGCTCCCTGCACCGTGAGGGTTAGTGGGTGCTCTGGTTAGCTGTTCTCAGCCCAGTCACCAGCCCTTCAGGGCAAGGCGGGCCCCAGCCGAGAGCCCACAGACAGGCCTCTGTGACTGTGCTGTGCGGGGCCAGTGGCAGGTGTGTCCTACCTGCTTCACGTTGTAGCCCGTTTTCGCACTGGTCTCAATAAACATGACACTGAGTTCTTTGGCGCGTTGCTCCCCTTCCTCGATGGTTATCTGCCTGGAAATGAGGGGGAGAGGGGAAATGAGCTCCTCAGAGGAGCAGCCCCTGGCAGAGGAGGAGGAAGTAACCTGAGATGAGCAGGGACCACCATCAAGGCAGGCCAGGCCCCTTGGTCAGCCCTGAAGACAGGTGAGTCCAGGGGTCCCTCCTAGGGCACCAACCACAGTCTGTCCAGGACAAAAGGGATACCAGGGCATGGAGGACCTCAGCCTCTTTCCCTACTCCTTCCGTTGTGTTCTCTGAGCTAAGGAACAGGCCCAGGGCAGGGCTGTCCCCTACCTGCCTTCCCTAGCAGTCACTTGTACAAGAGCCTACATCTGTAAAGAGCTTCCAGCCACACAGTGCCTCTCTGCATGGTATTAGTAGCCAGCCACCTTTACCAAGGGCAAATGCCAAGGTTAAAAGTAACTGCCTCATGGCCACAAAGCTACTTAGCAGAGGAGCTGGGATCAAACCACATTTTCCTTATCTCAGGGGCAGAACTCTAGTAAAGCAGGCTCTAATTCGAATTATTTCTCAAGTGGAGGGGCCATAGTGTTTTATTTGTCCAAGTCAGAGCCACAGGAGATGAGCGAACAGACGTAGGCAAAGCACATCCTGCGTTGGCCTGTGCGCTGGAGGGCAGCTGCGGAGAAGCCTCTGCTAGACACAGCTGTAAACCAGGCTGTGTGGACCAGGGGTGAAGTTCCCGTTCTAGACGTCCTTTGGGCTCACACCCAAGGAACAGGGTGCTCACTTCCCCTGACACATGCTGGTGCAGGTGTTTCACAGGGGCAGACACAAACAGCATAAGCAGAGGCTCCCAGGCCAGGGGACTGCCACATCAGGGGCTATGCTGTGACCACGGAGGGGCCCAGACCATGCACCACTGGGCAGGGACAGGTGCACAGGGCTCTGTGCAGATAGCTCAGTGCCCTTACAGGGTGGTGGAAGATGGGGACAGGTCAGAAGCACAGAGTCCCATGCATCCCAGGCCTCAGATACAGAGGAGCGAGGGCGGTCTGCCTTGCCAGTCCCCGTGCCACTGCCCTAGGCCTACCTCTTGTCAGCCAGGTCTGTCTTGTTGCCCACCAGCATGATGATCACATCGCTGCCCCTCTCTGTCCTGACGTCGTCAATCCACTTAGAGGTCTGCTGGAAGGAGTTCAGATCTGGAGGCAGAAAGTAGGGATAAAGTGGAGTGAGGGTGGGCCCTCAGAGGGAGACCAGGAACAAGACAGGCAGACTATGGCCTCACGTACATGGGAGGGACAGAAGCACTGTCCCCACATACTAGCCAGGCTGGGGCCTTCTAGAGGGACTGGGTCCCTCCCTGCAGCCCTGGAGAGCCCCTGCTCAGCTATTCTCTAGGGCTTTGGAGTTACCCCATCTGTAAAGTCACTGTCTTGATTTCTGCATGGAGTAGTGTCTGTCAAGGCCACCCAGGAGTGAGACCTGATTTGGGGCTCAGAGCAGGAGGTGAGAAATGAGTGCACTGGACTTGGCTGGGAGGGGTAGGAGGATGCAGCAGCCTGTAGGAGAGGGGGCTGCAGAGTGGCCCCCACCAAGGGGAGCTCAGGGTAGAATGGGAAAGACTGGAGGGGATGCCGAAAGGAAGAGTCAAGCTTCAGAAAGGCACCCCTGGACTTTTCTGAAGTGTCAGGGCAGCTAGGAGCACTCAAATTCAGAAGAAGCCAGGCCATCTCTGGGCAGCTTCACCTCCCTCAAAAGGTACCAGGCCTGGCAGAGAGAGGCAGTCATGGGGCAGTACCCACCATCAGCAGCCCATATACCTGGGGAAGGGGACAGCCTGTGCTGAGAAGCCTTAGTCTCCCACAGACTGATCTCCCTTGTGCCTGAGGCCCAGCAGACACTTACAGCTGTCACTATGCTTGGTGTAGAAGGGGGTTCCATGATTAGGAAAACAGGCAGACAGAGCAGGCAGAGTGGGGGCAGCAGGCCGGGTATGTGTGCTTCCTTTGTGATTTCAGAGCACCTACAGTGTCTTCCCACATCAAAAGTGATCCACTCTTCTGGCCTATGCAGCTCAGGCTCTGTATCAGCCCCACTCCAGACTTGTGAGCCTTCCTCAAGGCTGTGTGGTCCTTTCAAGGGTGTGCTGGCCTTGATCGGAAGAGTCTCAGTGTGAGAGAAGGGCTGCCAGTGCATAGTGTACCGACTCCAGGGAGCCCTGATAGGGGCTAATGAATCATAGCCATTGGGTCTGTGCTGGCTCAGGAACCAACATCATCTCCAACCCTAACTCACACCTAGATGTCAGCCCGGATGAGGGTCCAGAGGGCCTGGGGCAGGTCCAGCTTCTTCAGCATCTGCTTCCCCCAATCTAATGGCCTGCTCTGATCAGGCCTAACCTAGCCCTTTGTAGCCGTGGCTGTCATGGGAGAGTGAGGGACAGTGCAAAGTCCACTGGTGTTCCAAGGCAACTCGCCACCCCAACTCAGAGTGCCTGACTTCTTGCATTCAGGGAGCTGGCACACAGGTGTCCACACACACACATACACACTAGCCTGGCCAGGGTTGCTCCTGGGTCCCAGATGCCCCGAGAGCCAATCTCACTTACTTGTGATGTCGTACACCACCACAGCCACCGTGGAGTCCCGGATGTAGCTGGGGATCAGGCTGCGGAACCTCTCCTGGCCGGCCGTATCCCAGAGCTGCAGTCGAACCTGCAGACGACAGCAAGAGGGACCAGCATGACAGTGATCCTCCTGTAGAGGGGACTGGGGACACCATGTCAGCCTCACAGGCTCTCAGGGTACCCTGCTCATGGTCCTGGGGGATAACCCCAAGGAGCCCACCCTGTCCTCCCAGTTCTGAAACCGGGTACTCACCGTACGGTCCTCCAAGTACATGGTTTTTGACAAGAAGTCGATCCCGATGGTGGCCTGTTAGGGAAAAGCACAGAACAGTCAGAAGGAAAGGTCTCAGGCAAAGGAGAAAAGCTCAGTGTCCCAGGAAGGGCCCAACCAGCAAGAGGGGACACTCATGCCATGTGTGGTGCAGACTCTGCTCTGCCATTCCTGCCCAGTGTCCCTCTTAGAGAAAGGGAGCTTGAGCTAACTCTGGGTGAGGACAGGGTTTTAGGGAGGAACACTCTTTGTGGAGGAAGAGAAAAGTACTTCCAGAAGAGGTAAGAGAGCATGGGGCGAAGAGAGGAGGCCTCCCCATGAGCAAGGCTGCTGCAGTGCCCACCCTGGTCCCCCTCTTACTTCCCCACAGCCTCCTCTAGACTCCCAAAGCCTCTCCCCAGAGCCCCACAACATAGGCCTGGGTTCACCACTGTCCCAAGGAGGGTGGGGTAAGGACCTCACCACTGTGTGGGGGCAAAGAGCAGTACGGCCTGCCGCAGGTGGAGGTTGACCACACAGAACAACGTCTTGTTGGGAGACCCCATGGCTCTTTCCTTCTCAAGCCAATAAATTGGGACCTAAGTGTCACCAGCACCCCTGTGCCACTCCTGTGCCTCTTCTGTCCTGGTACCTAGGAAAAGTAGCCAGTCTTACAACAAGATAGGCAGGACTCAGCACTCACTTGCTGTGTGGCTTTGGGCAGGCCACTTGACCTCTCTGGTCCTCACTTGTACCCAGTGCCTGTAAGTAGGAGCTAAGATGCTGAGGGTGTGAAATGGAGGTATTGCTGCTACATAATTAATAACAAAGAATCAGACATAGTCCAAACATGCACAGCTACAGTGTGATCTCTGGTGTGCTTGGAATCCAGGGCAGCCATTAAAAACCACAGTTTTGGAAAATATCTAAGGATTTGGGAAATGTCATGGAGTGAAAAAAGGCACTATAAAACACCACATGTCATGTGACCCCAATCTGATAAACTAAAGTAGATAAATGAGCATCCTTCATACTTTCTCAGACATTGGAGTGAAGAGAGTGTTCGGATGGTGGCATTATGGGTAATTTTTTGCTTCTTTCATTACACATTGTTCTGTTTTCTACATGAACAGATAATAGTTCTGCCTGGCACCAGTGGCTCATGCCTGTAATACCAGCTACTCAGGAGGCAGAGATCAGGAGAATTGTAGTTCAAGGCTAGTGCAGGCAAAAAGTTAGTGAGATCCCATTTCATGGCTGGGTGTGGTGGCGTGCACCTGTCACTCCAGCTATACAGGAAGTATAAATAAAAGGGTCGTGGTCCAGTTTGGACATGAATGCAAGATCCTATCCCCCAAATAACTAAAATCAAAAGGGGCTGGTGGTGGGGAAGTGGTAGAGCAACTGTCTAGCAAGTGCAAGATCCTGTGTTCAATTCCCAGTCCCACCAAAACAAACACAGATAATAGTTCTGAAATTAGAAAAAAATCTTTGAAACAAAAATAAAGTTTAAGAAATACGTTTCAGCATGTGGACAATTGCAGTGACTTCTGACTATAAGAAAACACAACCGAGGGAAGGCTGAGCAAATGGTAAGGCCTAATTTCCCAGGGACCCTGGCTAGCTGCAACGGTGCATACCCACATCTGCATGCATCCCGCCCCCAAGTCCCTCCACAAAGCTCTGACTATGGCCGCGTCCTCCTGGGTGCCTGCTTCAGTGCAAAGATGCAAGTGTTGTTCTCAGTCTAGAATGTGCGATCCGAGGATGCGCACACTAGGCACACACCTCAGACACAACCCAATCCAATCGGACTTTGCCAAGTGGGGGGAGAACAGGGTTGGGGCAGTGCTGAAACCTGGGCTCTTTGTGCTTTCTGGCCCAGCTGTGTATACTGCCCTCCCTGGCACAGCCACCAGAAAGCAGAAATGATGAGCGCTGGGAGTCAGACTGACAACCCTCGTCTTCTCATATCCTTGAGAAGAAATGTGCAGAGCAGGAAGAAATCTCTCAACGCATCAATGCTCTCCAGGCTCCCCAGGCATGCAGTAGAGGGGGTCAAGACTGCAGGCAGAGACTGCTGGCCCTACCCATATCGGATTCCAGATGTGTAGATGGACGCACGGCCGCCCCCAGTGAAGGACTACATTGCCCTGTTTCCTTTGCTTTGGGTGGTTGAGTTCTGGTCAAAGGATGTGAAAGTGATGCACTCATTTTCCGAGATGGGTCCCTTAGGGGTAAGTGGGCCCACAGCTGCTCCCTTCTCTTTTCCACTGCTCGGAATGCAGACAGGCAAGCGGGAGTCAGAACGGTCCATTCAGCTAGGGATGACTGCGAAGTGATGACAGATCAACAAGTCCAATTCCCTGCCCCAGGGGAGCCATCCTAGCAGCACTGGATGGCTTATACCCAGTCCGTACGAGAGACTTGTGCCTTCATTTCTTTAAGGCACTGTAATTTAGGGTTTCTATTAACACAGCCTAACTATACCCTAACTAACAGAGCGAAGACCCACAGAGAGTCAAACCCTCAAAGGTCAGGCCTGGATAGTGACAATGATGTTATTGATGGAAACTGTAGCAATGACAGCCCCACTGATCTTCATGTGCACACAGGCACTTCTGCTTCCATGGAGGGCAGAGAAGTCACTGAATGATATGACAAGGAATTGTGCCATGGATCAAGCTCCAGAAAAGCTCAACCCAGTGACCTCTGTAATCATGAGCACCATTTACTGGATACCCACCACAATCACTTTTTTGTCAGCATATACTAATTGTACAAAGGGTTTCACTGTGGTATTTCTATACAGACATGCAACGTACCTTGATCATATTCACCCCATGTACCATATTTCGATTTGCTGACCAAAGAGGCAGCAAAGAGGAAACCAATGCTGAAAGAAACCAACTTTCGACATCTCCAGCTCTCCCCCACCTTTGATTCCCCATTCCAAGGTGCTACATCAGAGCAGCCTCTGGTCCCTGAATTTCCCACTCTCTCATACCTGTTCTGGCCACATTCTCTACCCATCAGGCCACTGAGCCACTGCAGACCTCCCCACACCCAGCTGTGTAGACTGGTAAGGAAGGACAGGCGTCATCTCTGGGTGCAAGCGAGCCATCCACTCTGCTCGAAGCCATATTCCTAAGTTTTGCTTTCAATAATGACTTATGTCAAACTATTCTAACCTCTGGAAAAAATACCAGAAATAAACAATTTTCAAGCAGTGAAAAGTGATGAAAAACCAGGTAGACAATGAAGGGGTTACTATTTCTGGGGGAGACAACTAGGTTTATCCTACATTTGAACAGTTTTACCCCTGAGAGCACTGCCAGTACCACCAAGCTAAGCAGACTTAGTAGATACCTGAGACTGCTTACCGGATACTTCCCAGAAGGATGGTGTTGAAAGGAAGGACCTCATCTCAGGACTGAGTGTTACACCAGATGGAACTGAAAGAGTTCCATCTTCACAAAGTCTCAACTCAATAATTACCCACCTGCAGGGTGTCATAAGAAGGAGCAGTTTACAGGGGAAAAAAAACCAGGCTCGCTCAAAACCAAGGTCATGCACCCAGGTCTCCCGAACTGCAAAGCTCCCGTTTGTGACTATTCAGACTCTCTTTGCTTCCTGAAGTCCATTTCTGAAGCTGTCATGTGCCCTGAAGCCATCACTGAGTTGGCCTGGGGACCACATCCTGTCTGGCTCCCTGTTGACAGAATGTGGCGTTCACTGGCTATGACAGCTCAGTACAGCCCACTGAAGAGTAAGATCATTTGCATTTGTGCAGAAAAAATAGAGTCGGCTCTCCAAGGACAGAATAAAAAGAACTTTAAAGGAAGTTGGCTGGGATGTCCATTACTAAAACTTTTCTAGCTCCTGGGCACTGTCTGTTTCCCAGACACAAGACACAAGCAGCTGGCTCCACACCGCTGCCAGAGGGAGTCTGTCTCTCTCGGAAAGGTCAGATCTGCAGGGAGAAGGTGCTCATGGCAGCTCCTTTTTGGAAGATAGTATAACTAATACTCAATCACTTCCTAATTCTTAAGTGTCTACTGTGTGCTAGAAAAAGCCCTGTGGGCAGAGACCAACTTTGTGTGGAAGCTAAGATATGCATGCAGAACTGCTGCGCCTGGCACACGGAGAGTACCAGGGTAGAGGGGTTTTAAGGGTGACTGTGCTTTTAACTGATTTCTTGTGGGGAGGATGGGCAAATATATAAGTCCTTAAATGAGTCCTTAAATACTAATTTTCCAGAAGGCAGCAAGAGGACAGTGAATGATGGGAGATTTGTGGAAACAGCTTGGTGGGAGTAGGGGAGTCTCATTTTCTAAAGGACGGGGACAGCCCTGGACACAAGGTTCCTGTTTTTAAGACTGCTCACCTGAGGGCAGGTCCTGGGTGCAGTTGAGGGGTGGCCAAAAGTTGGCAAGAAACCTGCAGTGTTTCTGGTTGAGAAGCTAGAGGACAGAAAGGGTTGAGCTTGCTTGATCTTAGGTGGTTAGTTAACAAGAAACAGGTGTTTGGCAAGAGACTGGAGCCAGCACAACCAGCTCTGAGAATGCCAGGACAGGAGGGGATGAGGGCCTACCCCCTGGCCCACCTGTCAGAAAGCTGTCTCCAGGGCCCACCCATGGGCCCATCTATCAGAGAGCTGTTTCTTGGGCCTTGTAAAGTCTGCCCTAAAAGCATGCCAAAAACTAGACTAAAAACTCCTAGACATTGCAGTTGCCACAGTTCAGTCTTTCAGAGTCCCACCCGTGCAGGTGTTCTGTCATCCTTTACTTCAATAAACTTTTTTTCACTTGCCACTCACCTGTTGTCCAGGCTTATCATTCTTTGACTGACCCTGGACAAGAACTCGATGAACTCAAAACCAGTATCAAGAGCAAAGCTACCACAGCTGCCAGGAAGTGTAGAAACTCCTGGAAGTGACAAAGGCCCTGGGAGGGGACCCCAAATTCTATAATAAGTGTGGCCCAACTCTCTAAGTGAACTGAGCAGACCCCAAGCGGCCTACTTAGGACTGAAAACAAAATCTGAACAGAATTTTC